GTTAAGAGCACTTGGGATTTGGTTCCCAGGACCCACAAGATGGCTCCAAACCAGCTGTAATTCCAGTTTCACGAATCTGTTGCCCCCTACTGGCTTTTACAGGCATTGCATCCATGTGCTACATGGCACAACACTCAAATACATGAAGAAAAATTGATCTAAAAATGAAACATTAAGAATGATTTGACCCATGCCGTCACTTTGCAGGTCTCATTGGTTACTTAGAGAAGAGCAGCTTCACACCAGGTGAGTCCGATTTAGCCTGTAGTCACGGCTTGGAAGGGTAAGTCCCTTGGATTTGGATTGGTGCTTTAGACCTAGGAGAAGCAGGAAAGGAAGGTTTCACGTATGTGTTGGCATGTAGACCAAGCATTTTAGTCTAGTGCAGTGGGTAAATTCTAGTTCTGGAAGCTACAGTGAAAACCCAAGAACAAGACTAAAAGCAGAAAAAGCCAGTGTTTGACCTGTGCTGCAAGACGTATGGAAAAGGGGATTTTATTTGTGCTCTTAACATTCTGTAAATGAGCCCATAGGACTGGGGGAAGTCACGCAGCCCAGATTGCTCAGTGCAGACCCAGTCTGCTGTGATTAATAGCAGCTGTTGGAGAGGAGCGCAGCCAAAGGCTTGGAGGAAAAACGAAGCCTTGCATTTCCTAAAATATGTGCAGTGATGCCAAGAGTGACAGAAATGGAAGGTTATCATATGTTCTCCTGCCAAATTCAGGTCCCATCCATAGGGGTTCAGACCAAATGTGTGAAGCTGAACTTCATTTCTTGAGACAGCCAGTGCTGTAAGTGGGACTGTTGTTACACTTACTCATTTTAATGTCCAGGAAGGAGTGACGGTCTCCTTGACTTTGTGGTGGTGCAGCTATGATGTTTGGAGGCTGCTCGGTGGGTTTTCTCACCGATGTAGGATGGTATCTTTACAGTGTGGTGGGAACTACCCTTCCCAGTTTATAAGACAAGCCCAACATTGTAGAAACATCCAAACCAGCAGTCTAAATCCGCTCTTTCCATCATGGAATGGGTGTGCATGCAAGATGGGGTCGCAGGAAGAACAACAGGCTATAGCTACCGTCCGCTGTCCTAAAACAGAGAACAAAACCCCACTGAGGGTCCTGGGGATGTTTTTGCCTCTATAGTAAAGAAAAGTTTCTTCAAAACTACTACTGAGCCGGGCATTGGTGGTGCCTTAATCCCAGCACTTGGGAGGCAGAGGCAGGCGGATCTCTGTGAGTTCGAGGCCAGCCTGGTCTACAGAGTGAGCTCCAGGACAGGCTCCAAAGCCTGTGAACTGGTGGCAAGTGGGAGAAGTGAGAAGTTAGGAGCATATAAGCAGAGTGTTGTAGACGGCCTGGGTGTCTCCTGAAATTAGACATAGTCACACTTGGCTGCAGTGGATGCACAGGGGAGTAAGGGCAGACTTATTGGTGAGTTTAAAGTACCTGCTGCCACATATAGAAAGGACATACTAACTCCTTAAACAAGTAAACAAAAAACCCCAAAAAATTAAATCCAGACTACTTTTCATTGGAGAGAAAGAACGACATAAATGTTCAGTTGGCTTTCTTTTTCTTTTTAATAAATCTGAATGTTATTCAAGGACAACTTAATCTAACCTTGGTCTTGATGGAGTTCTGTTTCCTTATTGAAATTGCTCCAGAGATAGATAACAGAATCAAAGAAAGCTGGCTAGCAGGCTGAGACTAAGTGGTTCCAGTTTAATATGAGGGACACACCTTGGTAATAGGCGTGCCTCAACAGCCAAGATTACCTGTAAACCTGGACAGAACTCTGGTCTCCTTAGGACTCACCAGCAGGGTGCCTCTTGTATCCACGAGCATTGCAGAATAGCAAGTGGGTGACCTTGGGGGCAAGGGCAGTCAGCATTGCTGGTGGTACTTCAAACTCAAGCCGGTGCAGGCTGCTGGAGCTAGCTCATATTTTGTGCCTTGGGTTTATAGTCAAGCTTAAGTTTCAGCGAAACAGTGAAGGGCCTATTGTCACAGAGGGGAATAAAAGGTTGACACAACATCCAAAGAAAGCCAGAGTGGATGGCCTCACAACAAGCAGTTGTAGACCCTTGGAATGCTTTTATTCCTGTCTGGACAGATGTGGAGTTCTTGTTGTTGTTGTTTTGCAAATAGAGATACCTAGGACTTACTGGTAACTAGTGATATCAGCCATGTTTTTGTGTAGAGGAGTGTTGATATTGTTTATTTCAAGGAACAGGCTCTGATGTCACATGGCTTGAAAATCAAATTTAATGGCTCATAAAACTGAGGCATTCAGGAGAAGCTGAAGCACAGCCAAATCAGGGGCTCAAAGGCTAAGCGTGTCTCCCTTCCTCTGTGTTGGCTCCTTAGGCTCTTCGTAGCTCGCACCTCTGCTCCTTATTCGCCCCATTTTAAAGCACGGTTCTGGGTTTACCTTTCACTGAACTGGATTGGCAAGAGGTTTTGTGTTCATACCTGCTTGAAGGTTGCTATGGTGTGAGTGCTTGGTTTGGTCCAGAATGCATGTTGTAACCTAGTCCCCATGCAACATCATTGAGAGGCAGGGAACCAGCAGAAAAATTGAGGACTAACTAAATGGATTAATGCCACTATAACAAGGTTGTGGGAGAGGGTTTCCTTTCTTTCTTGTCTGCCAACTGAGGATAGTCTCTGTATTGTCACAGTCTTGGAAACAGAGAACAGGGTCCCAGAGCAGACACCATGCCTGCCAGTGCCTTGGTCTCGAACCTTCCTGCCTTTGTAACGCTGAGAAATACATTTCTGTGTTTTATAAATCATCCAGACTGACTCTGTTACAGCAGCACAGAACAGGCTGAGAGCAGCAGAGCCAATGCCACGGAAATGAGTGCACTGGAGCTGTGTGTGGGATGCTCTACACCGGAATCCTGCTGACACGGCCTGTTTGACTCAGCAAATGACTCTGGCACGATCCCAAACTCCTATAGGAGACACTAGACCAAACAAAGACACTAAGATGCCCAGATTGTTTCTTAGCAGACACTGAACCTGTCAGTGGTTTTGAGAAAGTCCAGATGCATTCTGGTTGGCCAGAGCCCATGTGTGTCTAAACTCATAATGGAAGCCCCTTCTTTCTGCCTGGGGGTGTGGGTCTCGTCCTTTCTTGCTATTGCAGAAGACATACTTCCGTCAGTAAGTTGTCATTGTACAATGTTGGATCTCTCTGTCTTGCCTCAGTTTCTGGGGCCCCCTTGGTGGCTTGCTATCATATACCAGGAGTAGGTTTTTCTAAAACATTTTCCAGATGAGTGCCCTGAGTGTGCACACTGCTGGTCTTCATGGCGTAGCATTCGTCTTTGCCTCGGTCTGTTTTCTTTTGCTGTAACACACTTGAAGCTGGGTTACATCATAAAGGAATTTACTTTGGCTAACAGTTCTGGTGGCTGTGAAGTCTAGGATTGGTTACCACAGAGCTACATGCTGTCCCATGTGTGGGAGGAAAGTGGAGGGTAAAAGGTGTTTTCGTACAGAGAGGAGCTTTCTAACAACCTCGCATTGTGAGAACATATCCATTCCCTCTGTATGTATGACAGGAGCCCCACAGCTACCACTTGGAACCAACCCCTCAAGCTGCCACACGGAGAACTAAATGCCAGAATGAGTGTGGTGGACACTAATGACACTCAAACCACACAATCAAGTTTCTACATGCATGCCTGAATTTTGCCTTGAACTGGTTATTTCTAACTTATGTCAGCGAAGAGAGATGTTTCTCCCATGCTACTCGGGATGAAAGCCTAGGGCAGTACTACAAGAAGAGGGATGGGGTACCCACTGCAATGATTAGTTGTGTAAATATTTAATAAAGGTCTCATTGGGAAATGGTACAGAGATCTGGACCCACCTCAATGCTTGTCCGGGAATCCATAAGTGTTAAAATTGAAGCCATCCCCTGCCCGCTCATCGGGACTCCCGTGTGTTCTAATTAGGTATATGTTTGTAAGGAAATACCAGCTTTTATAACCAGCCATTTCCTAGAGGCAAGCGGCACACCCAGAAACTTAGCAGGCCTAGGGCTCCAAATACTTCTCACTGAAGGGAAAGGGGATTATTTCACTGCACTGGTAGATGCCAGTCAGGGGACGACAGATACAAGGTCCCTTCCTAGCAGGCTGGCTGAGAATGCTGGCATTCTGGCCATTAGAGCTGTCCCAGGAGGCCACTTTGTTAAGGGGGATTAGAGAATGCTGTCCCTAAATCATACACAGTCTGGGGTTAACCTTGTATTTGCCATTATATCAGACCATGTTTGGAGATTGTCTCCACATTCCATCACAGTCCCTGCTGAGGAGGGGACTTGGTAGCATTTTCTGAACCTGCCAGAGTGGGAAAACCAACTGTTGGACGGACTAGAGGACTTGGGGGTTAGTGAAGCGCACAGGAACTTACTTGGCAGCCATCCCAATGGTTTGTTGTGGTGACAGCCAGGCTGGGTGCTTGCAGTTGTACTAGCCACAGACCCCGCGGATGCGAGCTGTAATGGAATGAACTCTACCTAACAGGCGCATATAAACACACTTATAGCTTATGTACATTAAATGTTAGGAATGTAATGTCTTTACACTGAATTAAACGCATATGTAGCAAATGACTCTACTGAAGTATAAGATTTCCAGCCGAGTTTTTAAAGGGTTCATTAAGAAGGGAGTGTAGGAGGGGCAGTGACCCCCCTCCCCCTCTCCCACCGCGGCTTAATTCCTGTGAATTCTAGTGGCTTATTCTGCGCATTCTACTTTGGTGACCAGATTCTCCCACGGAATGTAAGCCCTTTGTCTCCTACAAAAGAGAGGCTGCCTGAGCCAGCTTCCTAATGAGAGCTATAATTTGGGAGAGATGGGGCTATACTGAAGGGATGCGGACCTTTGAAAATACGTGGCTCCTGAAGCAGCAGGGTCTGCCTGTAGGGAACTTGCAATTCAAGCGAGCGCGGGCGTCCTAACTAACGCATCCTCTGTTCTGCAGAATGCCTGTCTGGGGCGGTGGAAATAAGTGCGGGGTCTGTGCGAGGACCGTGTACCACGCCGAGGAGGTGCAGTGTGATGGGCGGAGCCTTCACCGCTGTTGCTTCCTGTGTAGTGAGTAGTGTCCCCCTCTACCTTTACCCAAACCGTGTGTGAAGAGCCCGGATTGAATGTTTGAAGAAAAATAACGCTAGCTAAGAGTGATACTTTAGTGGTTTCTTTGTATCTTTGGTCTTAAAGAGTGCTTGGCCCTCCGTTCTGGCTATTTGGCCTTTGCAAGTGGTTTACCCGGTGCCCCTGCTTCAGTGAGGGCTTGGTGGCAGCTGGGCAGTGTATTTGGCTTGGTTTTGATAAGAAAGTTGATCTTTGCCGGTTTTGTTTTCTGGTTCAGTTCCTTTCTGACATATTCTTAGCACACACCACAGGTTGAGGTTCATAGTCTACCAGCTTCGTTTCTACAGAAGCTCAAATTTGTTCTTGTTACTCGTGGTTATCGATATTTTTTTCTTCTTTTTTATTTATTTTTTTATGTTTAGTTTTTGGAGATAGGGGTTCTCTGTTTAGCTTTGGAGCCTGTCCTGGAACTTGTTCTGTAGACCAGGCTGGCCTCGAACTCAAAGATCTGCCTGCCCCTGCCTCCCTGGTGCTGGGACTAAAGGCATGTGCTAGTACCATCTGCCAGTTATTGGTATTCCTATTTTGGGAGAAGAATATAGGACACCAAGAGTCCCTATAGACATTATGGGAATTATTATTGTTTACTAGATGTGTGATAGGAGGTATGACATAAAACAACATACTTCTGTATGTTCTGAAGAGTAAACACCCCATAATAAGAAAAAACAAGAAGAGAGGAACCCTTTACAAGACATGGAAGTCTGAAGCTTCAAAGCTGTAGTAGCCTCATGATTTGAGAAAAAGCCTCCTCATCAGGCACCATGAGTCAAATGATGGAATTTTCCTTAATGAACAATCCAAGCATGTGGAGATTTGCTTGACTCAAAGCGCTGTACAGTGACAAGTGCTGTGTTTTCATATAGCTTAAACATAAATAGGCCATGTTTTAAGCACAAATGTACTGGGTCAGTTGTGGTAGGTGGCACAGACCATTAAACCCAGCACCCAGGCAGATCTCCGATATGAGGCCAACAAGTTCCAAGGCAAGGCAGCCAGGTGACATTGTGGAGGCAAACATTGAGACCCTATCTCCAAAAACTGCTTACATGAATTGAGGATTAAACCTGAAGAGAAAGACTTTCAAATGTGGCCTGTCTCCTTTCCGTAGACACCAGCATTCAAATTATCTGTACTTCAGGCTGTATATACAGTATGCCTGCTTCCCAGGAAAAACTAGAAAGCTATGCTTACAAAAAGTAAAATTACTACACAGGCTTTTTTTTTTTTTTTTTAAATGACTTCATAATGCTGATCCTCAGGTTTGGTCCTGCTGTTTCTTTTCCAGGGCCAGGGCTTTTTTCTTTGTGATTTTTTTTAAAAAAGGAAATCCATATTTCACCAGGCATGTAACTAAGCTAAATGTTGGAAATCTGAAATGTAGATATTTTAGAAACTTCTCATTTTCTTCCCGGTTAAGCTCCTACGGTTATACCATAACAAAATCAGTGTTTCTTTGCTGTCTGTCAGGTTTTCACTGGCCAGCCTTTCTCTTTCCTAATCCTTGTCTCAGCTGACTGAATTTTACAAGGTAATTCGGGATTGTCACAGAACTGTGAGAATTCACTGCAGAGGTGAGGGCCGAGGAGGGAAGAGGGTGACAACACAGCAAATTCTGTTTTTCTTGGGGTGGGGGGGAGGTGTGTTTTGTTTTTTGAGACATGTTTTTTTGTGTAGTCCTGGAATTCACTCTGTAGACCAGGCTGGACTCGAACTCAGAGATCCACCCGTCTCTGCCTCTGTCAGCGAATAATATCCCCAGCCCTAATGTACATGTTTTTGAAAATAGGGTTTGTACGGATTTACACTGTATTAAGGCTACTCAGCCTTAAGGGCTGGAGGTTCATATCTTTTAAGCAATTGCCTTTTAACATGGAGCCTGAAGTTGAAGTCCACAGTAGCTGCCATTTATTCTTCTAGAGAACACTTTGGTCTATGTAATCCATCCATCCATCCATTCTTTGTCCACCTCACCTCCCTCTTTTGTAAGGGAGTAAAATTCCTCTCTATCCCACCAAGCGTTGGTTTCCAGCTGCCAGACTGTGCTACTTGTGAGTTCTCTCACAAGGTTTTAAGGTTTTTGTTTTGTTTTTTTCTTTCCCCTTTTTCTCCTCAAGCTGATTTGAAGTTTTAGAAAGTGAACTAATGTCTGCAGAAAGCGTGATGACATTTGGCAGTTTTGTGCAGTGGTGTACGTAGAAATGTCTTGTGGTAAGAAAGCCATCAAGAAAGAATGTGCTCTCCTCTGAGACAGGGAAAACAAATGCTAGCTTCAAACCACTTGATAGACCCACTCATCTCTGCCGGGGAAGCTGGAAGAGTTCTGCTTTTTTCATTCTAGGCTAGAGATGAAAATGAAATTTGGGTTAAAATGTTTTATCTGGAATGTTCTTTTAGGAGGGGGGAAGGGGCTGCAGAGGCCACTCCAAGGCAGTCACTACTCTTTTGTTCTTTATCAGGTTGTAGGGTAAATATTTGGTGTGAGAAGACAGAAAGAATGGGTGTTAGAGGTGGAGAAGAAGGGTTGAACAATGTTTAAAGTCTAATCTCCCCCCCCCCCCCGCCCAGTGGTTTGCAGGAAAAATTTAGATAGCACAACAGTGGCAATTCATGATGAAGAGATCTACTGCAAATCCTGCTATGGAAAGAAGTATGGACCAAAAGGCTATGGTTATGGCCAGGGCGCTGGCACACTCAACATGGACCGTGGCGAGCGGCTGGGCATCAAGCCAGAGAGGTAAGAGAATGCTCCTTACTATCTTAAAATTGGGCAGAACAATTGCTGTTGCTCAGGTGCCAGGAACCTGGGAATTTCTATATGTTTAGCTTAAACAAAGCAAGCAGGATGTAATATAACCTCTACTAAACGCTAGTGACATCCTTTAATATCAAATTATCGACAATTTTGTACTTAAAATCTTAGAAATTATTGCTGGGACTGTTAGCCCTGATTTTATCAGGAAAACTTAAGGTCTCAAGGAAAGTGATTTACATTAACATTCCATAGCTCTTTGGAGATCAAATATCATGAAATAAGTATCTGAATCATGAGATGGTTCTTGAATGCAATTGAGCAGTCTGTGGAAAGTCCTTAGTCATCCTTTCCTCAGGAAATTATTGTCCTTTCACTTAAAAACTGAAACAATTTCCTGTTTCTGATTATTTGAGGGACAAATGTGACCAAAGGACCAGAGTGGTAATCTGTTCAAGTTACTTAGTGCTTCATTTCCTGCTAAATAATTCCATTTGGAACTTCCTCTCCCTGTTTCCTTCCTTCTTTCCTTTCCAGGTTTTGAAAGAGGGTCTTCCTATATGGTACTGGAACTGCCCATTCAGACACTGTTAAAATGTACTGTACTTTTTACACTCGCCTTTTAAGTGTATTTCTGATTCCAAACCCTTAATTTCCAAATTAATTTTTCCAAAGTACAAGTGAGAATTGAACTCACCCGTGACCCCCAAGTCAGTGTTTGTAGCCATAACTGGAAAAGCATGATAACAAGGGAACATCCAGCTGTACCCTCCCTGATTGTTCCTTCTTGGCAGGCCAAATTCTGCCCTTCCTCTGGTCCAGGTTTAAGGACTTCTTTTTCCTTTCTTAGTGACTCAACACTCATGCATGCCTTTTAATACACAGATTGAAGAACTTCACAGGGGTCTCCTCGAGAGGCAGAATTGAGGTAGAGAACTATCGTTAAGGCAGCCAGTGTTTTCACTTAGGGTTTCCATCAGTAAGTTATTTAGCATACAAGCCCCCAGTTTTTTATCTGCATTATTAAGTATTCACACCCTGTGAAGTCAGTAAAAGGCCAGAGGGAGGTGATCTGTGTGAAGGTCTTAATGACATATTTGGAATTTTTTTCTTGGAACTCTGTCAATGTTAGATGCCATTTTTAGCAAGTTTTTAACGATCACTTAAATTGTATCAGTAGGATGTGGAAGTGTGTTGAATATACCGTAGGTACAACTGAACATACTGTGAATTCATACTTTGAATCAGACACCCCCCCACACACAGACATTCAATGACTGTTATATCTAAAACACAGAATGAAGGGAAAAGAAGGGGCGAAGTTTTTGAAAAATAATTTAACGAAAAAGGTCAGCATTTCTATAAAGATTTTATTAGACTTATGTGTGTGCTTTTATAGTGAATTGCACAGTGCAGAGCTGTCCTGCAGTACACCTGTCACCTTCAGGTTCTAACCCTGTAGCCAAGAGGGTGTCTTGCATATTCTAGTGTGCCTGCTTATGAATGGGGGAAAATAACCCCTGCTAAATACGATTTACCCTCATCACCTGCAAATAGTGGCAAAATACCATCCCGCCACAAGAAAATGTAAACAAAGAATGTATGCAAACCAGAAATGTAAAAAGCAAAACAGGGCAGAGAAACAGGAAAATTTCCAGAAGTATTTCCCATGAAGAAAGTAGTTCATTGGCCAAAGATATATTGAGCATATATATAATCTATAAAATGACTTCCTTTTCTAGTTATGAACAACTTAAGCCAGCCAATGTGCTTGCAGGTATTTTTAATTTCAGAATTGTTTAGTGTTGACTTTGCCATCTCCTGAGAAACACAAAGCTAGCCATGATCAAGAAGCATTGGGCAACGCTAGGGACTTTGTACATTTTGTTCTCACTCAGGAAAAGATACTGAAGTCTGGGGTTGGGCTTGCCTTTTTCTAGTTTTGATGACCAGATACAGGTTCAGTGAGCACCTGGGCTATTCCTTTGTTCTGCCTGAGTGGAACCCCTGCAGACTTCGGACACTGCCAAGGGAACAGTGCAGTTAGGCCTCATTCTTTTTCCCTTTCCTCAAGTGCTCAGCCTCACAGACCTACAACAAATCCAAACACTTCGAAATTTGCCCAGAAATATGGAGGTGCTGAGAAGTGTCCCAGGTGTGGGGACTCTGTCTATGCTGCTGAGAAGATAATTGGAGCTGGAAAGGTAAGCTGCTGTTCCTAATGGGTAACTGTAAGGCCCCCCAACCCTCCCCCAGCCCCATCCCACCCCACCCCAGCATCCACAAACCCAGTTCTATTTCCCACTTAGGCAAAGGGTTCTGCTTTAGATTTAAGCTTTTCCAACTGGATTTCCATGGAATCACTAATTTATGGAAGTCATAGCCATACTTAACCACCATGTTTAAAGGGACCCTTTGCATCAGGCGTGTTCTCTAAAAGGGCCAAACTTCGACTAATGCTTTGTACAGATTCTGCAGAGTAATCGATGGTCGTTAGATACCTGGACTTGGAAAGATTGTCTTAATTCCTCTGAGCTGCTACATTTTCAGCCAGGAAAGTGGTAGCTTCAAATGAACAGACTGTCAAAAACTCTTTATGGGTGCCTAGGATGTGGCCAGGGAGGAGGGCCAGGTCTGGCTTTCTAGTTGAGCCTACCGTAGCATGAAGACCTTGCTTGTGGGTTGATTTTCCCCAGCCACTTGCTACATTAGTTAGAACAAAGGAAACAGGCCCCTTGAATGTCCTAACACATCTGTCTCTTCTAGCCCTGGCACAAAAACTGCTTCCGATGTGCCAAGTGTGGGAAGAGTCTTGAATCTACAACTCTGACTGAGAAAGAAGGTGAAATCTATTGTAAAGGTAAATTTATTTGTTCCACCTCCCCATCAGCATCTAGCATCTGATATCGAAGAGACATAGTGTAGTGTCGCTATTTGAAAATTAGTGACTCCCATTCCCACCGGGCTGGGAATTCCACTGATCAGTAAAGTGCTTATGTAGCACATTCACACGGCTGAACCCAGTCCGCAACACCTCCCCAACAGTTTTTTGACTTCCTGTTTTAAGCAAAGCTTATGAGCATAGGGAGGTAACATTTGTGGGAGGCAGTGGGAGCTAATGAACTCTCTCCTCTTTGTAGGGTGCTACGCAAAGAACTTTGGGCCCAAAGGATTTGGCTATGGTCAAGGAGCAGGGGCCCTTGTTCATGCTCAGTGATGGTGTAAACCCAGAACGAAGCACAGCACACAGAACCGTCACTACCAAAGCACAGATGACCTTAGGGCACTCACTGCTGTGAAACTCGACCAGCATCCGGCACTGTGCCTCACTCCTCTACATAGCTGCGCATGCGGGCTGGACAAGACAGAACTCCGCTTGCTCGCTTTTCACTAGCATTTAAGAGCGTTTCTTTTACATTGGGAATAAAGTTATGGCTTGCTTTGGATACTGTGCGCAATTAACTTTTGGAGGAGCTATTGTGATTTTAGGTAGTGGGAAATCATTTGCCTTCTTCCAGCGAAAAACACCGTCCAGATTAAAAAAACGTGTTAAAATGACAATCAACTCCTTTACACACTAGGCTACATTTGCACTGTGGGAGTTGAGAAAGGTTCTAAGAAAATCATTTCATTTCTGAGTTTCATACATCTATTCAGCAAAATGGGATCATAGCACTCCTAATGCAGCACTCTCTGAATGTCATGGCTTTTGTTTTGAGGTTCCCTCAATTAGCACCCCTTGAGGAGCTATTGGCCGGAAGTAGCTGCTTGGGGTGGGCGTGGGCTATCCTCTTTTGAAGGTGTGGCCATTCCCATGCACCCACCCCATACATTCAGGCAGGTCTTGTTAACTGTCACGATGTCTCAACTCATGTTTGCCAGGCATCACCATCGCAGCTTCTCAGAGCGGGCAGTCAGCCCTGCCGCTCCCCTTCCCTTCTAGAAGCCCCGTTAGAGTCTGCGGGCGGTTATTCTTCTTACGGGTCAGTTCCCCAAATTGGAGGTGGACATCCTCTACATCAGTATCACCTGCGTGTTCGCCGAGGACGGGGGAGATGGTTCAGTAAATGTGAAAGCGTAAGTATGTCTGGGTCCCCAGCACCCAGATAGAAGCTATTGCAGTGTACATCTTTATCCCTGGGGCTTGGAGGTCCCTGGAGCTCACTGACCAGCCAGCACAGATGAATTAATGAGCTCTAGGTTCAGAGATCCTGTCTCGAAAACAAAGTGATCAAGCAGTATATCTGACATCAACCTCTGGCCTCAACACACAGGGAGAAAAAATCCCACTGCCCTAGGGCAATGCTACTCAGGGTAGCGAGGGCTCTGTTCCCTGCAGGCGGGTAAAGCTTTGCTGGGGGCTTCTTCAACTGGTGCACTTTACAGAGAAAGGCGGCTATTAAAACTGAGCACTGCTGGACAAAATTGCTAACACATTTTTAAAATCAAGGCACACACACAAAAAAAGATGAACTCCTCCAAGCAACTTAATTGAATTCCATAGCAAAGCTCAAAATGTTTATAATACAAAACTCCAGCAGTAATAAACTACTAGGCATGAAAATAAGAGAGAAAGCCACTAAAAACATGCTATCTGTGGGTGAGGACAGAAAGAACTAGAAGTCACTAAAAACAGCAAAGATGTGAGGAGGCTATGGAAACACCTAGATATTTTCAGAGAGTAGAGAAAAGAACAACTAAGCTTGTAAATCAGATATTACAGTAAGAGAACTACAAAGTACAAGGTGAAAATATTGGTTAACAGTAATGGGAGATGAGGGCCTTGCAGGAAAAGTTATCAGATGGCAATAAACTGCGAAGAGAAAAGGGTATTTCAACAGTGGAAGTCAGGGACCTATAAACAGGACTTGCTACCCCAGGTGAGTGGCGGGCACTGCCTAACTGAAATTTCTTGGGAAGGAAAAACAGAAAAATACTTGAAAAAATGACTGAAAAATTTCCAAATTTTATAAAACTGTAAACTGACAAAAGCAAGCACCTGTGGGTTTGATAAAACCGTAAACCTATAAATCTAAGCCACAATGAAAGGGCTAAAGTGTTGTCACATTAAAACTTCATCAAGCAAGGTGTGGTGATGCCTATTTAAAATTCCTGTTACTTGGGAAGCCAGAGGCAGGTGGATTCCAAGTTCATGGCCAGCCTGGGCAAAAAAGCAAAAGCTCTTCAATTCTAGTAATGTGAAAGGACAAATATAAAGCACTGTGTAAAGTCTACTCAGTGAAACACATGCCCTTGAGTTGGTGACGGAGACCCACAGTAGGGGTTCTACTTGCAACTATAGATTTTCTATTTTAAAAGTCACAGATATATTTAACAAACATGTATGCACTTTGTGAAGCTAAGGGCAATTTTGTGACAAGCCCTGTCCTGGGATGTACCTTTCTCAGGTAACTATAAACTACACACGATACCCACATCACGGAAAAGGCCTACCAATATGGCAAGGGCTGGTAAGGACACAGTGAGTAACGAGGGGTGTGCATGGCATTAAAGTGGGGTGCAAATCACGACTCTTGAAATCTAGTTATCGCCGGAACACTTCTGTTTCATATTATAAAGTAACAGCCCAGCCTGAAATCACTCATCTACAACCAGCCTCTGAGATGAGTCTCATCATAATTTTGCCTTTTAAATTTGCAAAGATGATTTCTTTGCCATGTCTAGTATCTGAAGTGACAGCGTCAAAGTTTTACAGGTATCATTGTACAATATTTTATTGTAAGCCTTTAGACATCAAGATCCAGATTCATATACTTCCTGAAATCCTCAGCTAACTCCACAGAATCCAAGATACAAATGTATCTTCTTCTTGAAAAAGAATCTCTCTCTCTCTGACAGACAGAAATCTTAGAATACCACCAGTGTTACATAAATTCCTATGAAATCCTGTAGCATTTGACTCCAGATGATGAAGGTGGAAATGTCATCTTTTCACATCAGAGTTTTATCGATTTCTTTTAAGTGATTGAGCAAACACCATATTTAAGTCAATATTTATTTTGATTAATATTTTACAAAATTCTGACAGGTTTAATTTATGTAAGGAGGACTAATTTATTAAACACTTTACAAGTTTTTCTTTCCACAGAATAACACAGTAAGTAGCAAAATAATACTTGGCACAGTTATAAATAATGGGAATATAAAATAAAAATGTTCATAGCTTAAGCAGGATGTGTTTTTAAGCCTAGTATTTAAAATAAACTCCTACAAACAACAAAAGTATGGGTGAGGAAACTCCAAAGAATCCTGTTCAGAGCCGAGAATCGGGCTGAGCAGTCAGAAGTGCCCTCAGAGGGCTCCCTCACACAGCCTGAGAGCTGGGTTAAACTGCTCATCCACACAAGACCACAAAGAAACGATGCCTCCAGACCATCTGACAGCTCTGTTACAGATGTCGGAGACTATGAAATGTTAGAACTAAAAGCATCTCCTTGCAAATACTTGCCATGTAACTACACATCTACAGGGGTTGTCTGCTTTACTGAGCAGCACCTTTCACACTGAAAGAATATTGTATCTCGAAGAAAGGACGAGGTAACAACATTCTTATTCAAACAGAGAACCACCATAGTCTTTAACTGTTGGTAAAAATGTATCTGATAAAAATTGCAACTGAGTCTTCCTGTGAAGTGACTCGAAATACAAAATTAAAACAAATCCTAGTGTTTTATAAATAACTTTCAAATTTAAAAATTATCTAAAATTTCCCCCCATTATTAGCCAAAACTAACAGAGACATTTGTACAGTTGACCATTTTTTTTTACATTCTATGACAAAATGTTACATTGCTATTACCACCCCACACCCATCTCTTCCCTTTTCAAAAATAAAGTACATATGCCAATTCTAATATTTAAAACCCTCAAATACAATAAGGGTCATTTGAAGAGGGTGATTTATGGTCAAAGAAATTACTATAAAATGGTAGTACCTGGAAATACTGAACATTAACTATATACACCTTCACTGCTCCTCTTCCTAAGGCAAGGGGCGGGTATACCACTAGATTGCTTTAATACCTGTAACCAGCATTTTACAGGGAATACTAATTTTACCTAGCACTGGACATGCAGTGAACTTGCAGGGTATAGTGCCTATTAACAGCAATATTGAACACCACTAGAAGCTCATTAATCTCTCCCTTTTCTTTTTGGTTGGGCAAAATGAAATGAGCAGCTTTAAAAACACTAACACATAGACACAAAGAGAAAACTATTTGATAAATTATTTATATACACATACACATTCTTTACACTGGTCTAGGGTCTGTCTCAGTCTGCCCCCTCCCCCGACCCCTCCCACAGGGTGCTGGAACCACAGTTTACTACAGCATTGAAGAGAACTAAAGCGAGTCTCACTGTAAACAGAATCGTGGAAGCAGTGACGTCACTCATGAGGGTACGGGAATGCCGCAACAGAACTGGATCAGCACATCACATTGAACAGCAGAGTCTGAGACTTTCACAAAGTGTTACGAACGTCAAAACACATTCAACATTGGAAAACTTAAAGTAACCCTGGGGTTTAGATCCTACTTTCTGAGAGGTCATTAAAAAAAGAAAAGAAAAAAAGAAAAAAAAAGAATAGTCCATTAGCTTTTCATGTATTCACATGTGCTATGTACAGAGATCATGCTCCATCTTTAGCTTAAATTCCATTATTTTGCCTACAATTTATTTTTCAGTTCAGAATTTAAAAAGAATTCACTTATTTCTATTAATAAGAATTTTGCATTACTTATTTGTTTTGCTTCTTGTTGAAAATCCACCTCAACTCTTAAAAAAAAATTGGGCTGTTTTGCACATGAAATTATTCCTAATTTATGCTTCACTGGACAGTATCTGCTAGTATACATTATATGCAGTATGACATGCACTTAGTAGGGCTTTAAATTTCAACAAAATATTATGACTTAGTATACTCATGCAAGTGCTTTATTATCAGACCAGGAGACCTCAGAGCAAGGCTACTAGAAATTATCTCACTGAGCTAGAAGTAACCCAGCATTGCAACAGCTGGTGGCAACACAACAGCGAGCACATTTCCGTGAACATTATTTCCCTGTGCCTTTGAGAACACAGTGCAGTAGATCTCTAATAAAACCACATGATTTTCATCACAGTATTTACATGTACATCTAAAATGTACATAATACTAGACACCGATTTAAGACAATTCTCCTGGAATTAGATGCAATACTCTTAAGTATTGCATAATACAATTTAGCCATATAACACAAATTCAGTTTTAGTTATAACAACATTTATCCTTGGTATACCATCTCTAGTAACAAGTTCATGTTTTCATGACATATGTTATGAGAACAAAACGGAAGAGTATATTATGAATTCCTACATTAAGAAGCATGAAAATTATTTTTATGATCTTTATTCTCCCTGGAAGTGGCAGTGTCCCTTTTATTAATAAAAGTATTGAAAAAAAGGACTGTAAAATTCACTGTTAGCCCTACATATAGCATGCTATTTGTTCCAAGAATGTGGATTCGAGTGAGAGAGAGACACGAACAGACACAATCTTCAGGCACCACTCAGCAATATTGTTTCATAGGATAAAGACGCTGCTACACAAGCTGGTACCCAGATCCTGATATTTGGTCATATTCTATAGTATACTGCCTGGTCCAGTCCACGATAACAGGGCGAAAGAGGCCACAGCATCGAAATTCAAAGAAGTCTATAATATTCCTTACACATCCATGGCTAAAATCAGACCCCAAAAGAAAGGAGAATTCAGTTAGTATGAATGACTTAATATAACTTTTCACGTTAACATTTTTTTAAGCTTAAAAATCAGACTGCCTTCAAGAAAAAAGTGATTGATCACTGCAAAACAGACACATTTTCATGATTCTCCATAGCTCTGTGAGCATTCATTTGCTAATTAAAACACTACACAATTAAACATACCAACTACTTCATTCCAATGTCATACACTCTATTTGCTTCTAACACGCACCAGCAAAAATAATAAAAAACACACTTTCTTGATTACTGCCAATAAACCAAATTATGTCAAAAATAGAGAAAAGTAAAAGTAAAAATAATTATACACATATGAATTTGACAATGGACTAACAATGTATAATGAATGCCAGGGCGAACTCAGGGACTTTAAGTCATCATTAACACTTGGAAAAGCAGTCCATTTCACCTCAAATATAATAACTGTACCTCTAGTAAGAGTCTTCATTTTCATGTAAGAATTGCTTTCTCTTCCAGAAGAATACAATAACTAATCATAGTCCCGAAGTTTGAGGGTCAGTAATAGCTTATACAAAATTCAGCATCAGGGCAGAGGTTAAGTTTACAGTGTTTATTAGGAGTATAAATATATACTTACTGTGACAGATTTTACATCTTGGTGTCATGACTAACACCACTTCATCAAAACCCTGCAATTCAGTAACAGTTAAATCTAGCCTAAGCATGGCTAAAAGAAAAACATTCCTACTCCAGCTTTTCTACAGAAAACACTACACCTACAGAAAACATTTCCCTGTGATGTAGTCACTGAACATTATGGAGTTTGTTTTCTATGAAACATGCAACAAAGGAACACAGCGTGTTTATAAATATATACATACTTGAATGGGCTTTCAATAGATGTTGTTGTGACTTTAAAGTGCTTGTATCTCCTGGCATTCATTCTCTCATTTGTAGTAATTCCTAAACATGTTATCTGAGAAAAAGAAAAAAGCAGCTCATTGTCCTTTCTGAATATTTAATATAAACAAAATCCTCAAGACGATTAGCATAGAATAAAGAAAGATGTGACCTGTGTTTGGTATTCTGTAGGAGAGCATCAAGCTAGTTCACATAGCATCACTCAAGGTGACTGACAACAAATTCTTATAAAATGAATGGTATATGCCTGTAATCCTAGCATTCAAACAGCTGAGGCAGGAAGATGCCAAATTCAGAGTCCAAATTCAGAGTCAACCTAGTCTACAAAGTGATACTGTGCCCAAAAACCCAAAGAAAAAGAGGGGATTTTTGAATAAATACTAGTATTTGTACATAATAAAACAGTATCATTCAAGTGAAAAGAAAATTAATAGTATCACAATGTAAGCTCACACATATCCAACTGTAAGCATCTTAACCAGGAATAAAAATTTCTGCTAAAAGCAGAGTAAGAAGGGATAAAGGAGGCAGAAAGGAAAAGCAAATAAGAAAATCAAACTGATCCTTAAGAAGTTTTATAAATTTTATAGTTAACATACCAAGGAAAAACCACTTGTACATACCTGGTACATCTGACACATGAGTAACACGGCCACCCACATGAAATGAAACACACTGTTCAGAAACATCCAAAACATCCACGGGGAGCATGTGGCAATCTGAGTAATGTATGTCCAAAATCCATCCTTGGTGTAAGTGGTCTCACAGTGAAGTCCCCAGTCTAAACTCGGAAGACAGGTGACACAATTATTCTTCCGCTCACCTTAGGTATTATGGTGACACCACTAAGGAATGGGATCTAACCACCTAGATTTAATTCATGACACACAGTAGCAAACATTTTTATAATCTTAATAATTTCATAACACATCAATAAAAAAATCTACCAGAGCAAACACTAGGAAAACAGCTGCCAAACTTAAAAAGAAGTTCCTGTCTGCTAAGAATAAATAGAGAACTAGATGGCCATGGAGTGTTCTCAGCCCTGGAGAGAGTACTATCTTTTTAAACAAGATACATGAGCGGGTTTTGGTGGGTGGGAGAGCACATGAGTCACAGCAGACACCTCAGTAAGGTGGGGTTTCCTTAACACAGACTCTGCCATAAAGAATTACTAATAGAAATAATGAAAGTATCTTTGTTGGGTATGTTGATCTGGAAATTAGGTGAAATTGGACCAAATCTTTTTCTTCATCTCTATTTGGGGATTTTATTTATTACTATCCTTTCCTTTATCTCTTTCTCTGTAGGTAGCAGGACTAACAGTCTTTCTCAGATTGAGTTTCAAACCAGGACCCAAAGTATCTTTCTACTAAACTGTCCATGCACTGAAGCTCAGAAATTAGCATCTCCACCTAACTCTCAAGGCACTAAGCCCATCAATAAAACGAGTGACAATTCATCTTTCAAAAGTAACTCCTGAGATCTAACACTGCCCGGTAGGCAATAACTTACACCAAACTTTGCCAAGTATTTCAAGTTTATGCAAATTTGACCATTATGTTTACTTTCTCAGTTGTTTGGAGAAAAAGAAAGCGAGCAGTCAGTGGATCATCCTGGCCAGTAGAGCAAGCACATGCATGTGGAATGCTGGTGTGTTTCACCCAGAAGCTTTCAAAGCCTGCTAAACCAACAAGGCATGACAGGCGGCCCACTGACCACTGCTTGCTTTAACTAGACATGGAACATATTTTCCTTTATGTTTCACTCAATGCCCCAAACAATGAAGTTTTTGATAAAAGACTTTTGTTACTACATTAATTTGTTAATAAAGCAAATGTAATCTAAGTATATAAACATTTGTATTTTAAGAAGGCAGAAACTAATTATACTCACAAGAAACACAGCCATAGATCATCCAGCAGATCATGAAAAGCAAGAAGAACAGGTATCCCATAAAGTACCTATGATTGCCTGCACCTAAACACAGAAGCAATTATGTCAGCTGAGAGAAAACGACTAGGAATACACCTTCATCAGGTGTGCTGTGACAGGTAGGACACAACTTGGACAATAATCATGTACATACATTACTTATTCTGTGAAATGCTTTGAGAAAAATGTTTTCATAAATGTTTTAGAATAAGAATGCTCACAGTTACACCCATGATGTGACAAGAGCACTGGCAATCACTCTGAAGGGAGTCCCCAGAACTAACACAAAATGTAACTATGGCTTTCAATCTGTTCTTCTGGTGTGAGGGCCCTGTCAAATCCATTCCATCTTCCTTTTATAACCCTTACAATCAAGATTTCCTCTCCCATGGTCATGCAGTCTTTGCAACCATTTCCTTTCTACCCATCACCCTTTTATCTCCAAGCCACTTTCAGATCATTGACCTAACCCTCTCAGGTTGCACCAGTGATGTGACCTGTGCAATTCCTATCTGTCATTCTTCTCTGCCTCTGCACATAACTTTTCAATTATTATTGCCTTGCTTTCTTCAGTGTAATGCTTAAAATGAGTTTCATTGTTATTCAGTGTGGAAAGAAGACAGAGTAGACACCAGAGAGAATGGACAATTAAACAATTAAAGTCTTCCTGACTCACTCACTCTCTCTCTCTCTCTCTCTCTCTCTCACACACACACACACACACACACACACACACACATACACGTACATGCATCTCAATGAGTTGCTATACAAACAACCAGGAAGCATGTGGTGTGTAAGAATGAGTATCTATTTAAATCCTGCATTTCATTAGTTACCTAAAGTAATTTAAATGAACAACATACTCAGAGATTGATAATACAACTTACCTACACAATTACCCACCCATGGGCAATGATGATCAAATTTTGCTATGCAGCGGTTGCACACACCACAGTGTTTGGACCTCACTGGCTTCCGAATCTGTTAACAGACATATTAAAGTATTATGAAAATCACTGCATAAAAAGAAAAGGCTGCCCAGGAGTGGTAGTGCACTCCTTTAATCCTAGCACTCACGAGGCAGAGGCAGAGACAGGCAGATCTCTGTGAGTTCAAGGCCAGACTGGTTTACAGAGTGGGTTCTAGAACGGCCAGGACTGTTACACAGAGAAACCCTGTCTCACAAACAAAACAAGAAAAGAAAAGCTAAACATTTACACTTTCAAAATACAACTGTGAAAAAATATCAGTGTATTTCTGAGAATTATATCAACATTTCCAAACCAATAAGACCACAATTACGGTTAATTTGTTCAAAACAAAAATAATAGAAGAAGGTAAAAAGTCTCCACAATATGAAATCTTAAAACAATTTCTAAAAGAGAAGTAAAGAATGGAGAACTGACTGACAAGAGATAACAAATAAGCATTGAGCGCTGTTTCTTCTGAGACTGAACACTGTGTACCAGTGCTCTATGGCTGTGCTAACTCTCCAAAAATAAGAATAAAGGTCAATTTGTTACAATAAACGATCATACAAGTTTCTAAATAATACAAACATCAGCCCTTCTAAACCCTTAACATGAAATTTTATTTGATTAATGAACATGATGTTGGTTACTCTTTAATAAATAAGTTTCTTTTGGCATAAAGGAAGATCACGTTACAACTGAGTAAAACAGCTTTTCATATCAGAAATCTTTAATGAAGGTACCTTCCCAAAATTAACAAATCTAGCAAAAACAGTTGTGTTGTCTTTAACTGCCTCCTGTAATCTCCAATTAGGTTCAACATTTCCCCGGCTAGAACTGATAGCCATATCTAAGAAGGAAGATACTAAGGGTTTAGTAGTCATTATTTCTTAACAAAAAGCCACTATTCTGATCTTTACAAGCACTATAATGCTATTTATAGTACTTCTCCCTCTACTGTGTATGCTAAATCAGCCAAGGGGGGATCCAATGTGAAGATTGCCCAAGTCTCCTTCAATAAATGATATTTGAGGGGGAGGGGAAAAATTTTACAAGAGCACCAAATTTCAAACAAAAAGGAAATATTAAAAAAAGAAAATCTAATCAAGAATAAAAAGGTAAAGGGTGAGCTGGTCTCAAGGTTCTTGAACGTAACAACCCTTGGTCTATAACCAATACTAATTCATTTCTAAAATCCCAATCCACAAGTCGTCTTAGGAAGTCATCTATTTATCGATGTAATAAATGAAAAGCACATACCATACAGTGAAAATTATGTCTTTATAATAGGATATGCATATATAATGAGGTAGTATTTACCAAAAAGGACATGGTTTACAATAATATATAATAAAAAGTTTATGCCACAATGATAAACAGGCCACCAGCTATTTAACAAGAAAACATGTCTATAATGACTATAAAATATGCATGTCACATGCAAGCTCATATGGTATATGCATGACTTTGTGGGACATGATTGTCTTCACAGAACATCAGTGTATCTTAAGAAAACAGTAACAGTCATCTACAGTATCTGTGGTAAAGCACAGAAACCAAACTTGTAAAATGCCTGAATGTGCAAAAGAATGCAGATAGTGGCCAAAAATCACTGCCAAAGCACAGCAGTGTGCACTTTGAACACCTGTTCACAAATGGACTGTCTAAAACCTTCCCATAATCCTAAGCTATGACAACTACTTTATTAACGTATTTACTATTATATACTAACAACAAGACACTGGTTTACTTTAGGTATATAACTTAAATGCACTTATGTATGCATACTTTCATGTATGATTTAAGGAACTGTAATCATGTGGCATTGTTTAGAGTATTTTCACAGTTACTATAAAATAACTGAAACAAAAATGTAAATTTAAAACATCTACAATAAAATAATCATAACTGTAACTGATTTCATAAACAATACTTTCAAGTTTTAATGTATGACTTGATTCAAAACAACCACTTTTAAATTTAATGACAATGTAGTACTCTAAGTTGCATAGATACTTCCAGATAAATACTCAAATTCTAATTGTTACAAGGCTATGTTGTCTGAAAAATAATCCATGGGATTTAGACTGTGATTTTTTTTTTTTTTAAGATAGGGTTTCTCTGTGTAGTTTTGGAGCTTGTCTTGTAACTTGCTCTGTAAGACCACACTAGCCTTGAACTCACAGAGATCTGCCTGCCTCTCTCTGCTGGGGTTAAAGTCATGAACCACCAACGCCTGGCTTAGAGTGTGACTTTCAAACTCAAGAACTTTTTAAAACTTGATTTAAAATGATAGTAGGTTTTACATTTTGAAGGGTAAAAGAGTAAGAGCAGATATGACCAGGGCTCTGAGGTGCAGTATGGGTTTGCTACCAGGAACAGGCACACTCTAGACAGACATTCCTTCATCCCTGCCCTCTTCTCCCACAGACTACATGATGATGGGGAGTTGGGGGAGGATACCCTCTGTGCTGAGATACTGTCAGGAGGAAGAGGAGACAAAGAAGAGAAAATATAAATATTACCAAGCAGGTACTGCAGAATATACTGAGGTCCAGACTTCCAGTCTCTGCAAGTTCAACTATTGTCTGTGAATTTAAAAAACAAAAACACTTTTACTCAAAATGCTCACCTACTCTTTTGTCATTATTATGGATCAGTAAACATGCCATCTTTACCAGTCTTTTTAAGCTCAAATAAGGTACCCTGACTGACTCATTCTCAACATCCCACTGCTGTAGGAAATCCACAGGACATCAGCAAGTCCATACAGTTTTGCCAAAAAGGTAGCTAAAGTAGTTAGTTAATTACCGGTAGGAATGAGTCATTAAATTTGTTTCCGTTTTGAACAAGCTGTCTAGTTTTGTTTCCTTGTCTTGATAAAGGCTCTCCTGCAGTTGAGACAGGTGCTGAGATTACAGGTGTACTTCTCCCCACACCAGCTAAAATGCTCTTAAAATAATCTAAAATGTCCCGTCCAACTCTCTACTGACAGAAGACTTGACAAAATCAACTTCAAGACCCGGGCCTGTGGAAAAGGACACCCTACATCAGTCATGCACAGAGAAACTCTGGCTCCTGAAATGGGACATTAGTGCTGGCTTTCTAGTTTAACAGGTAAGGTACCCAGACTACCCTAGGTAAAGGAAATGAAGTTTAGTTAAACCACAACACGTAAACCAGGCTTAACAAGGGCACCAGGGTGAACACAGAAAATATGGACGGGCACAATTAACTCTGCCTAATGAAGGTGTCACTGATTCTAATCTACATCTCTTCTACGAACACTGAAAAACTGGCTGTCAATATCACCACCTTTTTCTTTTGTTCTTCTGTAGCTTTAATAATCCCTGGATCTGATTTCCAAGACTTTCCAAAATTGTAGAAAAGTGCAACACTGTTAGCAAGGAAGGGAAGGTGAATAAATAAAAAGTTGAGATGTATCCAAAGTTAAGGAACCTAAAACAGAAATTTCTATATAGAGATTTATAATCCATATGGTGTTACCACACAACACCACATATCACCCCAAAATGGTGAGTCTTTCTAAATCAAAATTATTTCCCATAATGTTTATAACTAAGTACAAAAAAGTGAAACACGACTCCCCCCACCCCCCCACCCCCCCAGAAACATCTGTTTAGCTTTGGAGCCTGCCCTGGAACTCAATCTGAAGCCCAGGCTGGCCTCAAACTCACAGAGATCCCCCTGCCTCTGCCTCCATTAAAGATACGCACCACTACTGCCCAGTTAAGTCACAAAGTCTTATATGATTGATACTTTAAAAGTCAGTAAATATTAAAAAATTCAGTAGATCAATACTGCTCTTGACAAAAATGAAGGTATTTTCACAAAATTAGACATGTACTTTTCTTCTTGCACCAAAATTTTTATATATTATATAAAGATATATAGATACCAAACTCTTCAGATAGCTATGTTGATTAGCTTCAATTGTATATTTGACAGAACCTGGAGTCACCTGGGTTATGTCCCAGTTAGGGATTATCCACATTCGGTTGGCCTGGGTACATTTCTGTGGTAGATTTTCTTTTAAAAAAAAAAAAAAATTTCCTTTTCACTGACCTACATTTATTTGTATCTCAGGGGAGGGGAAGAGTTAGGTGTGTGTGTGTGTGTGTGTGTGAGAGAGAGAGAGAGAGAGAGAGAGAGAGAGAGAGAGAGAGAGTGAGAGTGTGTAAAGTGCCCACAGGACAGATAAAGGCACTGGATTCCATGGATCTGGAGTGATAGGCAGTCGTGAGCCACCTGACCGGGTCAAACTCTGGCCTTCTGGAAGTACAGCAAGATTAACTGCTAAGTCACCTCTCTAGCTGCTCCAAGTTGCTTTTTACTAAGGGACCACAGAAACAAAACTGATATCCGCATAGTTATATATTTAAAGGGTACATTTAACTACAAGAAAGACAATAAAGATAAATTTTCTCCTTTGCCTTCTTTTGAACATACTCAAGTTGATGTTAATTTTAGAAAACATATTTTTAAACCTTCCTAAAATAGAAAGGTTTTACCTAATAAAAATACAACAAATATACCAGGCATTTATAAATATAAAAGGGGCTAGAGAGAGATATCAGAAGAGCTGGCTGCTCTTCCAGAGCTCCTGAGTTCAATTCCCAGCAACTACATGGTGGCTCACAATCATCTATAATATAAATATAAAAAAATGAAAAACTATATAAAAATATTGCTAAAACAGTAAGGGTCCTGAAACCTAGAATATCTGGTTCACTCAATAGCAAGATGTGATGCAGAAAGAATTAACATACAAGAAGGCTGAAAGATTTCACTTCGCCATGCACATAGACTGCTTATTTTTTTCATGAAGGAAAGTTATAAAAAGAACTTGAATGAAATAATCCTACATGTTTGAACACCAAATAAATACATCAAATACAAGAGAAGCACAGAGGAAAAGATTCACTATTAGCACTACTAAGTGATACCAATTTTTAGCACATTAGTGGCACGTTGCCTGACTTTTTAGCAGCATTAAGAAAAACTGTTGCCATTTTTTCAGGCAAAAAGCATTATTTTCCTCTTTTGACTATGAGCATTTATGTTCTAACACTCCACAGTGAGAGACTGAACTCACTGCCATTAACATTTTCATTTCTGTTCTACAGGGGTGGCTGTGGCAGGTGATCCCAGCTCAGCCCTGTCAGGAAAAAGGGAACCTCAGGCAGAACCTCAACAGGCTCCGGTGCAAGAGTTCACAACTAAGCCTTTTCTCTTGGCAAAGAAAAGGTGAATGCAAACAGCCAGCTCAGATGGTGAAGTGGTGTCACCTTGACAGCAAAGGGGACAGGGAAAAAAAAAAAAAAAAAAACCAAAAAACAAAAAAAAATTTCCACATAGCCTATGACAGAAAACATGAAAGTCTGGGTAAATTCACTTCAGTTAGTCATAAGAAAGATGAAAGACGAGAAATGGCCTAACAATTATGTTAGCAAATGTTCAAGAAAAATCAAAGGAGAAAAAAGGTATATAGCAGCCATAAGCCAAAGAATCCGTCTCAAAGAAAGCACACCCTAAGGACAAAAGCAACTGAGCTGACAATGTTTCAATAATTAAGTTTATCTACAAGGGCCAGTGAGATGACTCAGCAGGTTGAAAGTACTTGCTGTGCAAACATGAACACCTGAGCTCAATACAGATAGCAAACGGTGGAAGAAGACAGCCAGCCCAACAGTGGTCCCTCAGACTCCACCAGAAACCATGGCAGGAACACAGCCCCCCATGCTCATACACAATAATAGGAAAAGGCAAGTTTTAAGTTTAAATGTGAACCCTAGCAAACAATTTAAGGACAAGGCAATAAGACAGATAAAAAGGGGTGCTTCTTTCTAGAAGAAAACAAATTGAGACCAAACAAAAACAATTATATAATCATACACTAGGAAAACTAAGCACACACACACACACACACACAGAAAGGCTAATACACTTAGGCTGTCCTCACTCACTCCCACCTCAGCCTCTGATGATAGGTGTGTGCAACCACACCCAGAACATTCTCAATTGTAATGCCTTCTCTTTGGATAAAGGTGAGTTTCTGTCCGTTTGTTTATCTTTTGCATGCACCCCCAGGTTCAGTAGAAATAGAGAGATACACTAGGCACTAAAGTACAAGTCTAGAGATGAACTGGTCCCAAAAGCTAGTTAGTGTCTATACCGTGGTTACATACGCATGTTTACAAGACTCATTTTTAATGTCAACCCTACACAGGCTAGAAGAAAATGCTCTTTAAAAGTAAATAAATAATGCTGAATTAAAAGATATATATGTATATATAGTTAGTGCTTTTGACCTTTAGGTATTATATATCCATGCTAACAAAGTTCGATGTATAAGAAAGAAACCCAAACCCATATACACATAGCAATGCCTACAAAATGATGAGGAAAAACTGACTTCACACAAAGAGAAATTGATAAACACATCAATATGCTGGAAACGTAACAATTCTCTCCAGTGGTAAATGTAGATGGTGACAGAATGCCTGGCATTTGTGCTGAAAAAGTATATGGGGTATTACTTCCTAACTTGCTGAGTTAAAGGACAAACTGAGAACTTAGAAAGAGCACAGTGGCCCAGGCCAATAGTCCAAGGTGCATGGGGGCAGAGACAGGGCTCCCCTGAGAACAGGAGGTCCAGGCCAGGCTGGGCAACATCACAAAACCTTCCCAAAACCAAACAAGCCACATGATGTGGTAGACTGGTTCATGTATACTCATGACTCCAGATTATACTGGTTTTAAAAGTATTTTATGCTGGGTACGGTGGTGCACACCTATAATTCCCAACACTTGGAAGGCAGAGACAGGCAGATTTCTATGAGTTCAAGGCTGGCTTGGTCTACATAGTGAGTTCCAGGACAGCCAAAATTATTTAGAGAGAGACCCTGTTTCAAAAATAAAAAAATTATGATTTTATGTTGACAATTGATGATGTTAGCACATGGTATATGTTTATACAAAACAGTACTTTTTTTTTTTTAAATGAAGCAAAAGAGATTCAGTATGTGTAAAAAAGAATTAACTGCTACCTGCTAAGTTTAAAAAAAAAAAAAAGTGAGATTAAGAAAATCCTTAGATGCCAGTATGGTAGCTTATGTGTATAATCCTAATACTTGATTGGGAAGCTGAAGTAGGAGGATTGCCATGAGTTCAAGGTAAGTTTGTGCTACATAACAAAATCCCATTGCAAACAGGGGGTGGAGTCTTTAGAAAAAAATAGCTGGGTGATAAAACATGAAAATCACTGTTTGATAAAAAGTAAAATAGCTTTCAATTCCAGCTTTACCAAAGAGAGCTATGTGGCCTTGGGTTCCTAAGACCTAAAATTTCCCACCAATCAAATGAGTTAATACTACAAGATGTACATAAATGTTTGTTTAAAGCTGAGTTAATATTGGCTGATACTGTTTGTGGTTGTTAATAACCAGATTTTAAAATCAACCTACTACATATAAATATTTACAACATTATTCTATTAGTTCACATTTTTCTAGGAATACTGCTTCACTGTAACAGATCATGAGCTCAGTCGACCATTTGCTTGGAGAGAACTATGCTTTAAACACATCCTTTTAGGGCAAAGGATATCATTCCAAAACCAGAAGAACCACGTCACGTACATCCAGAATTTGGTTGCCAAATATATCCCAAGAGGCAATGCACTGTGCATCGAATGATCAAAAAAGGACCTGTAAGACACACGTTTTATAAAATATAAGTGCCATATTTTATTATAAAAACGAATTGAGAATAAAATTATGAAAGCAGCAGACACTTAAATACTGAGATTGTTTTCACAGTAACAATGATTCTTTAAACCTACCAAGAACCAGACAATATCCCACCTACTTTGCAACTTGAGAATTTCAGCGTATTCCAACTTGTACTTCAGCAGTCAGCACCGTCACTATCCAGCACATTACTCGTGGATGCTACAATTCTGGCAAATGATGACAACAATGCTCGTATGTCCTGACCTACCCAGTGCAGTTAAAGTCGGGCACAATGCTCATCTCTCCTGACCTACCCAGTGCAGTTAAGGTTGGGCACATCATGAACTGGCTGATTCAGTGTGCCTCAAGGCTAAAACTTAGGAAGAAGTACTGATAAATCTCAGTACAAACAGGGCCCTTTATCCATGTCGAGTAGATCAAGTAATCTTGATGTTTTCCTATTTAATGATCTGTCAGAGCTCCTAGAATATTACAGAGATGAATTAACCTGCAGTCATCTCCTTCTGAGAACTAACATTAGGGATGACTAGTCATTCTTACTTCTGTTTGAACTATTTCCAAAGTCTTCTCTAAAACTCTAGTGAAAATAAGAAGCTAAAAGAAGGCAAATGAAATAAGGAGATGGAGGTCAAACACACCTTCCTTGGTTTACTCAACAGGGAAACTTTTAGGGCAAGAAGAATTAATACGAAAGGTGGTCAGTGCTTAAAGCCTGAATCTGTCAACATAGTCCACTCTGCTAGGAAAGTTCAAGCTCATTGGGTTTTTTTTTTTAATACTTTATTAATTTATTTTTTACATTCCACCAAGCTCATTGTTTTTAACACTGATAAACAAAGGCAATAAATACTACAGCAAACTAAGTATAATAATTATCTAAAAGTCAATAATACACATTTTTTTTTACAGTTCAAAAAACTCAAATTCACGTTTAATATTTTAACTATCTCTAGGAATGTATTTAGCTTCAAAAGTCATATACTATACTTTGTCATTAATGTCATTAAAGAACTTTTGAATAATTTTAATGATGCTAAAAAACCTAAAGACTCACAAATTATCAAAAAAGACAATATTCTAAACATAGAAAACATTAGTTTGACATAGCAGGGTACAAATTATGTTCTTTCATAAATTTAAAGTAAAAAATAACATACTTACTTGGAAAGAAATTGTACTGTAGCCCAAACACCACCATACATTAGCCCTTTAATGAGCCAAGAATCAATATTTAGGTCTGCTATAAACCCAACCAGCCAAATAACTAGGAATGGAGTTCCTAGCATTACTTTCTGTCGAAATTCCTGTTAAAAAAAACAAAACAAAACAAACAAACAAACAAAAAAAAACCAAAAATCCAAATGTTACAAAGTTTTTGTATGTTTCAAATGATTTCAATGTTAACCACAGTTATCTTTATGAAAGTATGCAACCAAAAGTAAAATTCATTCATTCAAATTTACCTATAGTGTTCAGGTAGTGTACAAAACCTAACACTTTAAAAGGAGTTTTTTAAGACTGTGAAAAATGAGAATAAAAGTTGAAATTATGGGAGTAAGTTCTACACAGACAGACAAAAAAGACAACAAACAGTAGGAGAGGTTAAAAAGGTCTAGTTATAAAACTAGTCCATAACTTGACAACCCATTTTAATAGAGCTTTGCTAACTACAATCAAAATGATCATGTATGGTTTTGTAATTTTTATCACATAAGTAGACAACTGCAGATGCTCAACTTGGAGAAGGCATTCAAAATAATAAAAAGTAACACTATATTAAAGCTGTAAAATAAAATAAAGAATAAAGTCAAGGCCAATATCATGGTTCTATGAATAAAGGTGCTAGAAAAACAAATCTAACCACTCGAGTCTGATCCCTAAAACCCATGATGAAGGTGTGTGTGTGTGTGTGGGGGAATTGACTACCAAAAACTTGCCCTCTGACCTCTACACATGTACCATAAGTTTGGAATAGAATGTATACATACATGCATGTACATTCACACACATACCACAAACAAAAATCACTAAACAATCAGCAGCATTTCTCAGCCCACAAAATGTAAGAATAAATAGGTTGTTGTGGAGTATTACTTTAACTAGTCAAAGATGTATTATATTTGTTTATGCTATATTTATTTAACGCTGAAAAGATGTATTGCTTTGCCTATTTAAGGCACCTAACTGGTCTAATAAAAAGCTGAACTGAACGGCAAATACCTAGGCAGTAGAGGAATAGAAGGGGCCAACAAGCAGAGAGAATCTGCCTGCCAGTAGTAGGAGGAATCTAGGCGCCAGAGAAAAAGGGAGGAGAGAATGAGGGAAAGAGGAGATGCCTGGGGCCAGCCAGGAAGACAGACATACAGAATAAAAGAATGGTAAAAAGCCCCAAGGCAAAACATGTATGAATAGAAACAGGCTAAATTAAGTTATAAGAACTAGCTAGAAATGAGCATAAGATAAGGCTGAGCATTCAGAGCTAATAAGTCTCCATGTCATGATTTGGGAGCTGGTTCAAAAGAATGCTGGTTAAATTTGGCATCCAACAAGGGGCCTATATGTCCACACAGGGCCTGAAAAAGCTGAAAACAAGCCTCCCTCACCCCACTCCCCCCAAACCAAAACAAAACAAAAAAAGCAGATACAGCTCCTTTAAGAGCCTTTGCAGTACAGCAAGAACCTGAGTAGCCAGAAGCTAAGTAAAAATACCTGCCACAGTGCAGGCACCAGTTTCCTAGAGCTGGAGCGGTTGGAATGCAGCTGAATCCAGCTTATGGTTAGACACAGCACCCAGGTGAATAAAAGTCTTGGCCAAGCTCATGGGACATAAAATTCAGCTTTAATGAGCGGGGCAGAGCCAGCCACCAGTGCAAAGCCATTTAACAGTTTGTTTGGTTCGCATAGTCAGAAAAAGCTAAAGACACACTATAAGCACAGGTCCATATGGAAGAAAAAGACTCTGAACAGGTTACAGAATGTTTAAACATGTATTTAGGCTTAAGAAAGAAGAGGAAGTGGGTATAGGCAGTCATTTTCTGTAGAACTGTACTATTTTACAATCTCACAAAGCAACATTTGAGCAATCCAGTCTTTCTGCATCATCAGAAATGTCTTTAGGCTTTTTTTCTTATCTCTATGTATGTGCATACTTAAAATAGCATTTTGCCATGTAGCCCATAATGGTCTGGAACTCTTGATCCCCCTGCCTCAGCCTCCCAAGTGCTAGCTTACATATACCTTTAATCCCAGAACTTGGTAGATCTCTGCGAGTTCAAAGAAAGCCTGATCCTCTATAACAAGTTCCAGGCTACCCACAGATACACAGTAAGACCATGTCTCAAAACCAAAAAGACAAAACCTAACATGTTTAAGGCTACTGAAGGAAAAACAAGAAACCAAACCTCTAAGCTGAAGTCACTGTTAAAACTGCATGGCATAATGAGGCTTGTGTGTGTGTGTGTGTGTGTGTACACGGTGCAGGTGCATGTGTGAGTGTGCACACGTGGAACCCCGAGGCTGACATCAGATGTCTTCCCCTATGGCTTTGTACCTGATGTACTGAATGAGTCAGGGCCTGTTTGCCCTTCTTCTGTTCTGACTAGCCAGCTTACTCCATGGACCCCCTTCTTCTGGTGCATTGGGATCACAGGGTTGTGGGATGTGACCCACCCGCCCAACCTGAATGTGGATTCTAGGGATCTATCCTCCAGTCCTCATGCTTGGGAGACAAGAACTCTACTTGCTGTGCCTCTCTCCAGTCCCTGAAGCTCCATCTCTCAATTTTAGGATTCGTTTTTTATTTTTGATTGTTTTTAAGTGTTGGGTAGGAAGCAGTTCCTCTAGAGATCAGAGGGGCTGGAATTACAGGGTGCTGTGAACTGCACTGTGGGGCTGCTTAGAACTGAACTCAGGTACTCTGTAAGAACACTGTGTGTTCTGAACCACGGAGATCTCTCTCCAGCCCCCAAAGCTTTCTTTTTACAGAGAAACAATATCCAAATACATAACACTATTAGTAAGGAAGTTTATATATTAATATATCATCATCTTTATATTAAAAATAATTTTCACTTAACCCTATAGAAAAAAATAAAAGTTTGGAATATTTACATTCAGCAAAATCAAGAATTATGGAGTTTTTTAGAGTAAGCTAAGATATACTACTAAACTTCCATTGTGTGGCAGACAGAATGAAAGCAAAATAAATAAGTTTCTCTATCACAGCTACTAAATCACTGAAAGCATTGACACTGTATACAAGAATAATTCATTATCTTTATCTGTGAAGTTTGGGAACACCAGTGTAAGTTAACGAACTACAAACACAGCTATTCTGGTATCAAAGTGATGGCCCAGGGACCCTCCACTCACTAGGGACTTATAAGTTAAAGACAGAAATGGGCTGCTGCTTTCAAAGTGTATCGCACTTTATTAAAACTACTATTTCTGTCACACTGGCAGATGGAATAATGGCAACACCTGTGTATTTAGTAAAGCCTAAGTACTCAGTATTGCTAAAAAAAAAATAATAATAACAAAGAACAACTTAGTATCATTCACACAATTACTGTCAAGAGAAAAGATATACGGCTATTGTTTAATTATTTAAGCATATTTTTAAATGCCAGTTAAGTAATATTTTCCTTTTTAGTAGAAATGATGTCTTCTAAGGAACATAGCTAGACTCTTGTTTGGGAAAATGATTTAAGTTTCAAAATCCTATTACAGGCAGACAGGCCAACAGGCATAAATTTTAAAACTGAAGGTTCGTGGAAGAAAATTGACTTTCAATAAAATAGGTCCATGGAAACTTCCTCTCTAAAAGTTACAATACATCACAAAAAGCTAAAAGCTCAATTAATTAGAGCTATAGTACTCAGTTTAGAACTCACATTAAGACTAAGACGCTTCACAATTCATTATCATATTAACAAATGCACATGGAATGCTTTCATCTACAGGACCACTCAAATTTAAACCTGCTTATGAGCACCCCCACCCTCCTTAAGCACAGACAAGAAACTGCTAAATACCCCATTTTATTTCGGCTGAAATAATATTTTAAAAATGACAGTGTGGAATGTGAAAATTAAGGTATGTGAATATTTACACCAAATAAGGTATAGATTGAAGACAGAAAGCTTTTTAGCCACACGTTACCTTATCAGCCTTCAGCTTTCTAAGGAAAGATGGGTTGTCATACCCTTTCGCTTGCCTTGCCTCTTGCAAATGGTTGATCATCCACACGTTTTTCCTTTGCTTTGCCAAATCAAGTGCTGACTCACCCTGTGATGTAAATAGAAGATATTCACATTAAAAATAAAACTAACATTGTCATCAATAACTTTTAAAGAAATTCCATAGGAATAAATTGACTACAATCATACATTCATTGACAATGATTCCTGATATCAGATAAATCAATTTAAAAGTCTAAATCATTACATACCTGTTATCATTCCCCATTCAAAATACAACAAAAATATATTTTTTCATCTTATGCTATAAGATTCTATTTTTTTTTTTTCTTGACAAATTAGAAAGCAAATCAAAAAGTAGGTATTTAGTACCTGCTGGATCACAGGCTATCACTGAGCTTATCAGTTAGGCACATCCTTACAGACCTCACTAACAATACCAAGTACTGTAAAACATCCTAATGCTGTACCAAGTTGTCACAAGTCTGTTTTCCTTCAGTAATGGTGGGAGCCTTAACAAGAGATCAGAGGAGGAAGAAAAGGTCAGCTTCTATATCAACTGCTGTACTGGCATTCAACCTACCAGAAACTTACCCACCCACAGAGAGATTCCCAAAGAGCACAGGAGAGCAACTGAATGGAAATCATTTCATTCCACTTAGAAGCTAGAAGCTACAAGGTCCCTTAAATTCTAAGACGAGAATGCAGGGGCACAGCAACAAGTCAAGAAACAAGAAGTACACAACTTAACCCTAGGAGTTCTTTTTCGTTTTTGTTAATTCAAATCTTCTATTTCTTCCATAAATTAGATACCTACATTTTCAGTCTATTTAATATCCTCTATTTATCTGATTCTTTAATAAAAAGGATAAATTAAAACTGTTTGGCAAGATTTGAAGAAAGATACTCAGATTTTTCTTTTTTTTTAAATAACAATTAAAATTTTACTGCAAAATGCTGGAATAAAAAACAAAACAAACAAACAAAAAAATAAGCAGGGAGTCCTAAGGTACTTTATTTGGGAGAGATAGTAACTTATCAAGTATGGAACATAGTCTTTAAAAAAAAATTAAGCATAACACTACTATATAGCAACAAATAATTATAAACAAACAATAAAAATTTCAAAAGCCCAAGCAGATTTTTAATAATAATAATAAAAAAAACAATGGTATTTAATAAGGAATGGGCTAATCTAGGTGAGCCTTCCACAAAGAGGGATATTTATTTTGGATATTCCTTCCTTACTCCAGAATTCCATCACCTTGGTTTTCAGAAGCAGCTAATTAATCCAAACTATAAATATTACCTGAATAATAGCAATGCCTTGGGTAACAACTCCCAGAATATCCTGCAGTTGCCTCGGTCCAGCTGAGTTCCCCTTCCACTAGAGGGCCATGTGACACCTAAGGATTGCCTAGACAGAAAGATTGAGGGAGCTTTAAAACCTTTCAACTCCGCTAGTCATCTGACCGTGTTCGTATAGTTCTTTTATTCAGCTGGTAAAATAAACAAACAGTTCATGAGGTGTACTGAAACCAGGGTTCAGAATCAAGTCTATATCTGATTACTCCATGTTGCAGCCAAAATAGTAAGTAAATAATAACAAAAGTTAGCATCAGCAAGAATCCACATGGAGTATTTATAGACTATGTCACTGGTAGTAAACAGAAACTCTTCAGAGGTTTTGGTCAAATAACCATGGCTAAGGTGGACGATCACTTGGAAATTATGCCTTAGTGGGACCGAATCTCACTGCCAAAACTGATAAACACTAGTTAGAGACCACTGAGGTCCGGGCATTCAAGAGCTAATGAACAACTGCCCCCTCCGACGAGTCTCACCTCCTTTCCTTCCAAGAAACTACAAGAGACCCTTCTGTCTATTTGCATCCTTTGATAGTTTTAGAAACAAAAGATTGGAAATCCTTGGGGAGCACTCAGGTCTATTTTCCTTCCCAAATTAAAATTTATAACTATAGCTACAGGATAAAAATCTTTAAAAATTAACAAAACCACCATAGTAAAAAAGGATTATGAAATAAGCCATAATTTGTTTCTTTATTCTTAGTACACAAATGACTTTCTAACTCTATGGTTAATATTTACCCATAACATAGGGCTGTGGTTATAAAATTCTTTTGACACTTATCTTATGAAAGCCAATGATCTTCCCCAACTCAAAATGCTGTTACAGCAATATTGTACACAAGTCTAAGGGGTTTATGGGTCTATGTCATCCCAGAACCACTGTGCATCTACTCTAGCGTATTTTGCTTTTAAATATTAACTTTAAAATACTTTATCTATTATTAAAATAGTCCTCAAAATAAGCCATCTTATTTTGGTGGAAGAAATGTTTTATATATTAAAGTAATCTAATTTTTTAAATCAAACAATTTACAGAAGCAAATTCTAATTAACCTAGACACATTTAAAAGAAACTTAACCTTACTTTTAATGCAATTATTTTAGTAAAGGACCAAATAGTTAAACGATTATAGCCCAGAAAATGTTTGTTTTATCTTGCCTGGAAAATATAACTTTTTATAGTTCTTAAAATCAAATCTAGATTTGTAGCTACATCCTACCCTTACAATTCATTTTTATTTTACATTTTAAAGGCATATTTATTATTTATTTATTTATTCTATGTATATTAGTGTTTTGCCTGCCTATGTGTATATGCGCTACATGAATGCCAGGTGCTTGCCAGCACAAATTGGAGTTGTAGGTGGTTGTGAACCACCATGTGGGTGATAGGAAATGAACCCGGGTCCTTTGCAAGAGCAACCAGTGCTCCTAACTGCTGAGCCATCTCTCCAGTCCCTACAATTCATTTTTAGTAAGATGATCTTTCCTAATATTAAAAATGAAAACTGAAGTAAATAAATGAACTCATAATTATGGACAAAGAATTATGTTGGGGGTTTTTAAAACGAATTTTTCCTTTTCAAAGTTTGCGATAACCTAAATAATTAGGTTTATGTGGCACACAGTGAAAAGGCATCATTTCATGCTAAATATTATCAAAGCAGCAAGGAATCCTATCATCTTCAACTGAAAATGGTACTTTGCCTCAGCATTCACAACCTCAACCACATCAAAAGACAACTGAAACAAAAGCTGCCATCACCAATGGTATCTTCTTTCATTCTCAAATATAAGCCACTATGCTGCCCTTACTCTAAGATATTATAGATAGTATTTCATCCTTCCAGTTATCACCATCACTACTCCTTGGCTAAGCTCACATTTGATCCTTATAAATAGAACAACAAAAATACAAGCCTAACTGATCTTCCAATCTTTCTACTGTCTTGATGATTCAATGGCTTCTTCAACCAAAACAGTATCTAAAACAAACAGTACATCCCATGGCAGTCTATACAAACCCTCCTGTATCCCAGGACTTATAGCTTCCATGCAGTCTGGCACCTGCCTCTTAAGGTTCTTCTTGCTCACTGTACTTCTAAGCCAGCCTCAGTTAACACACCTAAAACTCAGCATCTTACCCTTGTTGGCCTTGTAGTACTCATGGAAAATCTGTTTGCGACTTATCTCTGCAACAACCTTCCAATCATAACATTCAAAGAAAATAGTGTCTCAGGAGTCCCCATATCACTATCACCTTCTCACCCTGACACTTAATTGCATCTATTTCTTCAACAGAATGTATGTTCCGAGACAACACAGACCTTAATCTGTCTTGAACAATGAGACAACCTACAATATGTACTGAATGAATGCAAGAATGGTTTCTATTAGAAGTGGTAACTGTCCTTCAAGTATACAGAGAATGCTAGATCCCAACAGCAAGAGCATTTCATTCTTATTTTCTCCTTTCAACCATATGAAAAGAACATTTAGAAACAAAAATCTCTTTTTTTCTCCTCAAAACTATAAATGTTGCATGAACAAATGAATTATTTCCTTAGACTTAATTTCCTTTAGCAAAAGGCATTACAAGAGCATTATACTTGAAATCACATTTTTAGGCTAGAGGATAGTACTCAAGGGTAGAATGCTTGCCTAGCAAGCATGAAGTGCTGGGTATAAGGACTTTTTTCATTTTAAACATTAGTCAACCGTGAATCTGTGCAGGCTAAATTATTAAAAAGGCATGAGTTTAAATAAAATGTCTACAGGCACATTAGTACGCTCAATCACTTGGCATTGTAGATACCAGGTGTTCTGACCTTGATACCATGTAAATGAAAAAAGGTAAAAATCATACAAATACTATCAAATACAACTTATCATTATCCTTCTGTTCAAATTCATTATGGACTTTTCTATCTTACCAACATTAAATGTTTATGCAATGGTTAGAGCAGATCACAAATTTTCATTAATTATTTTAAAAGATGTTAAAATTTTCAAACATGTTACAAATACTTTAAGATCATGACTGAATTGTCCTAAGGTTTTATTCAAATTACAGGCCATCTTGCTTACAGAATTATTTGGCATACTGTAATTCAAATATATTAATATAGCAATTAGGAAAAAGCAAACTAAAATTACTTGCTGTACAACAATTGTTTCTTTTTTTCTTTACAGTGATATAAGCAATATCTTGAAATATATTTCTAGTACATGAACCTCAAGACTGGACATCTAGAAGTCAAAGAGAGTGAGATGGAAAGGAACATAGATGGTAAATTGAGAGAATCTCAGTTAACTTCCCTAAGGGAACACTGGTCCAACAAATTTAGTTGGGAATCTTCCTTATTCTTTTGGCCGGGGCTCAGCATAGTTCACTAAAACCAGTGTTAAAAATTTTTAGTGCATCCCCTTAAAAGTTAATTCTTGCAAAGGCAAATATTTGTGTTATCATTTCTGAAGTGGCAGAACAGTACACTGGCTGTCACAAATGTCAGCTTAGGAAAAACTGAAGACTAAGCAAATCTTTGTTCTTTTAGCCAATAGCTTTGCTAAGGGCCCATCACATGCCAGTCATTCCAGTGTGCCACCTTTCCCTTTTTCTTGTGCTTAGTGGACCATTCTGATCATCCTGGGTAGGAATAAGACTTAGAACTTTAAAAAGTAGAAAGAAAACGCATGCTTTTTATCAAATTTGTAGTTTATAATATTTAAGCTCAAAAATTCTAATTAGACTAGTTTCTAAAAATTCTCTAAACTATGAAATAAAAGTAAATCCAAACCATTTTTAATAGTCTAACCTTCTCTTCTTAAAGTAACCCTGTAAAGGAAGAATTTTCACTAGAACATAAAGAGATGCCTTGATCCAGCAAGAGGTACCTACTTTTTCATTGGCTATTTCAGGTTAGTATTAACTTAAACTCCCCTTATATTTAATTAGCATATCTTCTTTAGCCGTTTATAAAACATGGCCCAGAAAATACAAAAAAAAATTACAGCTAATCCTTAAAAACATTTGTCAAAAGACAGTGATTCCTGACAATAATAATTGTAGTTACTCTGATTACTGCTAAGGACACAGTGGATCATAAGTCTTTAAGAATGCAAATGATTAACCAAAACCTGAGAATACTAACAGAACCAACTTTGACACTTATTTATGTTGTGTTTTCGATTGGACAAACATATGCCACAGCTCATCTGTGGAGGTCAGATAACTTGGAAGTTGTCTCCTTCCACCATGTCCTGAAGGGGGAACTCAGGTCATCAGGCTTGGCAGCCAGTGCCCTTGCCCACCGAATCATCTTGCCAGGCCCTTAGCAGTCTCGTGTTTGTGGACAATTTATGATGTCTACAAATTCTAAAAACTCAAAGTGTACATGTTAAATTGTACATGTACATTAGATTAATTCTGTATATTTATCCCAGGTTAATTCACTACTCTTTAAACATTATAAAGGGTTTTGTCAAACTTAAAAGTCTTGTTCTTTAAAGAAATAAGTTCCTAAAATGACCAAATCAAAGAATGACTAGAATTTTTATGTCTTTGTTACTGCTGTGATTATCATATGTGTGGAAGTATGATGCACACAGGGATGCTTGTGCCATGGCTTGAAGGTAGGTCAGAGCATTCCTTTATGGACGTGGGTGCTCTCCCTCCACATCTTTGTATGCATGGGCTCTGGGAGTCATTCAACTTAGGTTGTCAGCCTTTTACAAACAAGTGATTTTTACCAGCTGTGCCATTTGGCTGATGGGATAACGTGTTTTGTAACTATAAACTCACATGTAATGATATTCTTAAGAAACCAGAAAGCTACTATCCTTCATTTATAGAAGTTAGAAGTATGTAATTTCTAAAATCCAGTGCAATTCTCTAATTAAAAAAAAAAGCCATCCTCAAATAAAAACTATTAAAATATAACATGAAAGTAAACAACCTAAGTTTTGAAAACAAACTATTTTGCAAAAGCAAAGGCTAATAAGTTTCTTCTAATGTTCAGTCTTTAAAAACAAAAAGCAGCAAACAACAAAATAATATGCTTTATGTAGAGACTCATATATTAGTGTCTTCCTTTGCCTTCAACAGCAGTAAATATTTACCTTGACATTCTGGGCATCCACATTCCCTCCAGCTTCCAGAAGAAGACTAATGACTGTGGTGTTCCCTGCTAGAACTGCCCAGTGCAGAGCAGTGTTTTTGTGATACTTGTCACCAAGGTTAACTGAAACATTGAATGTTAAAAGCAATCTAGTTGGATCCACACTGAAAAGGAAAAAAAACAAACAAACAACAACAACAACCCTAATTTCAATTATCGAAATCATTACACAGACTAGACTACACTGACTGTGGCTGCACTCTCATTCCATCTTAGAACACATCTATTCTAGCCTCAACAATATTACAATCAGTAGCAATTAATGTTTTAATAAGAACCATCATCTATATGCAACCTTACATAGAGTAACATGGTGCCAAGAAACGGCATACTTGGTCCTAACTTTCCTACTTTTAATCTAAGAATTCACATTATTAATGCCTACACATTTAAAGAATAAAATATTTCATTTCAATTTGGACTGATACGAAAATGATTTTAGACAACTTAAAAATGAATACATAAAACTTTATAATACAATCGCATGAAAAGGTAATTACTTTAAAAAGGTAAACTGTTCTTCCATTCTCACAATTAAGAGAATAGTGAGCCAAAGTACAGACACCAAAACAGGTCGAGAGTGACTTCTGTTCTAAATTAGTTACTTCTAGAAGCTTTAAACAGTTGCAAGTGTAGCCATGTGCCTGTCTTCCTAATCACTTGTTTCATGCTGTACTATGCTGATGTGATCTGAGTAGTCACAATGATTACATACCTGTGTGTTCTGTACGCTGCCCACATTAAAGGCGTCATTCCATTCTGATCCATCATATCCACATCCTGATAATAAAGTCACAAAGCAGAATTTTAAGATCCTTGCCAAAATCAATTGGAAACATCTATGTAATTTGTATGTTATACAACCTACAACATTACTACTCAATCAAGAATGCTTTATGAAAGTTTCTCTCTTAACTTTAAAATAAGTGCTGCCACTAATTAACCTAACTGGTTTACAAATTATGCTTTCAGGCTTCCCTTTTAATGTTTTACATTTAAAGACCTTAAGCTATTTTAGAGTCCTCAAACACTACTATTACACAATCTTAATTTAGAATAAAAGACAATTCACAAAATGAAAGTTTCCATGTGACACTCTTTTATAGTCTTCATTTTTCAGAAGGTAAAGATATACCACAATTTTATATCCTATTCCCTTGACAATTTTTAGGCATTTGTAGATACTATACCTATTAAGTCACACAATATTATGTCTAAATGTTTTAAATATGTACTGCTGTTTTATGAAAAAAATTACTCAGGAAAAACAACTTTAAAAACTTAGATCATCATATTTTATCTTTTATATTAAACATGCTAGTAGAAGTTCTGTTCGTTGATCCTGTAGATATTTCTTCCTATTAAGGTGCTTTGTCTCATCCCATGGTCCAGGCTGGCCTGGCATTAACCATGCAGCCCCAGCTGGGCTCAAACTTGTAGTGGTGCTCCTGCCTCTCAGGCTCCTAGGCAGTGGGACTGATTACACCCAGGCCCATTTGATTTTGTGTGAATCTGTGTGTGTTTCTCTCTGTGCTGGATGGATGTGTGTGTATAGGCACACTTGGCCACATATGCTGGTGGAGAGGCTAGAAGCAGATATTGGATATCTTTCTCTACAGCTACCCACTTGATTTTCTAAGACAGGGTCAGCTAGACTGATTGGCTAGAGTCAGTCTCAAGATTTTCCACTTAACGGCAGCGGGGGATTTCTTCACCACAGCCCAGCTGTTACCTGAGTGCTAGAGGTGCTGCGTACAGCTGCCTAGCTGGAACTCCAACACTGAGCCACCTCTCCAGCTTCATTCCCTCGATATTGTTATAACCTATCTACATCTCCAGATTTTAAAAAATAATGAAATGAGCCAAGCTTCCCAATCACTTGAATTAACAAAAAGGCAATGAACACTCAAAAATTTATATCATCTGTTTTTTCCCAGCTAATAGGGGAAAGAAAAAGAAAATAAGTAAATATAAATTCTCCAACCCCTGGTATAAGAAGGAAACTAGGATAAGGATAACCTCCTAAGATAATTTCCAAAGATGGTCCCTATAGTACCCACTTCCTTGTGCTGTGCTGACATCTGCCACAGTCAACACAAGCTGGGATGCCCAAGCTTTAGCTGACAGAAAGAAACACTATTTTGTAGGTGAGGTCAGTGGAAGCGCTCCTGTCTGTATGCTTCAGAAGAAATCTACTTCCCTGTTGAACAGTGGTAGTGTAGAGTCTGGACAATGCAAAAAGAGCTGTCCCACCATCCCAGCTAAGAACAGGCTTGGCACTATAGGGCGGTACTGGAGTACCTGCAGAGAGGCCAAGAGACTAATGACTAAGTACAGCCCAGCTGCATCAGAGACTATAGCATTTTAGAGACGGATGGCTGTACAAAGTGGAGAGTGAATCCCAGATGTTCAACACTGACAGAGTTTGATTTTGTTTTGTTCAGGCTGTGACTACACCCTGCTTCTTTCTTCTTGCAGTCAGAAAGTATTTAACTTAGTTATGTTTTTTTTAACAGGCACCCACAAGTTATGAGACCTTGACTATTTTAGAAAGATTTTGAATATTTTAAAGAGACATAACTTTTCAAGTGTGATTTTTTTTTTTTAAAGGAGACTATGGGACTTTGGAAGTTTAGAATGTGTTTTTATATTGTGATAATATTAACATGCTATCTGTTCCCATCAGCCTGCTCTGTAGGCAAACCTGTGGAGTATTTTCTTGACTAATAATTGACGTGGGAGGGCCCAGCTCACTGGGGGCAGCAGCGCCACCCCTGGTCATCTCACAGTACTGGGTGCTATAAGGAAGCAGGCTGAATACTATGAGAAGTAAACATCGTACAGTGAGCCCTCCATGGGCTCTGCACCTGATGCCCTTTGACAATGGATTGTGATGGGGAGTGTAGGTAAAATAAAGATGCTTTTAGTCTTGGTGTTTTACCACAGTAATAGAAATCCTGACAATATTTAAGGGAAACAGTTAAAGTTAAAACACAGATTATAAATGTTCCCTTGAACTTGTCAGATCTACATGACCCCAACTGGATGGCATTCCCCTACATATGGTATTGTGGTGGGGGGTTGGGAGGGGAGGGTGTTTAGAGTGCATGGGAGAGGGTAGAGAGGGCTGGAAGGGAGGGAGGGAGAGGGAACTGGGATCGACATGTAAAATAATAAATTAAAAAAAAAAAAAAAAACACTTTGACTCCAAAATTTAAGTTGAAGAACAAGTTACTGGGGAAAAGTATTTCTATTTTTGTTTCCACAGAAAATGAGAAGATGTGGATTCCTTCCAGACTAATGTGGTTTGATCACACCAGACCGCCTGAAACAGAGTACAAGCTGATCCTACATTCCAAACAGCTGGACAAAACAGCCCTACAGACTACAGCTAGGATATCTGAATCTTCTTCGAATCCCCCAAGACAGCGCCCCTTACCAGCAGGAAGTAGTTTGGAAAGAACGACGCCCAAATTCCCAAATATTGTGTATAAATGTTTGTTTTCATTTAATTGGACTTTGTTATATAAAATTAAATAAAAAAAATAAATGTTCCCTTGATTTTCACTACTTATTTCTATCATACTTAAAAGTTAAAAACCAACTTAATGGAGAATTATCTAATTTGTGACTATATTTGCTTTTTTTGTGTTCTTTTGTTTTTGTTTTTTTAAAGTTTTTTAATTTATTATGCATACAGTGTTCTGCCTGCATGTATGGCTGCACACCAGAAGAGGGCATCAGATCTCATTATAGATGACTGTGAGCCACCACATGGTTGCTAGGAATTGAACTCAGAATCTCTGGAAGAGAGGTCAGTGCTTTTAACCTGTGAGTCATCTCTCCAGCCCCAACTATATTTACTTTTAAGTACACTAAAAACTCAGTATCAAAATAACTACACTTATTTACTCTCTTCACTTAGCAGAAAATAGTACCTAAGCATTTCCAGGGAAAGTCAGGCATTTAAGTCATGGAGAACATCTGATTAACATCAACACACTATTAAGACATTTTCTTTACCTGTCCTTTTGCTATAAGATAAGCAACAATTGAGGTATGTCCAAACTGAGCAGCCAAATGGATACAGCTGCATCCTTCCCCATCAATTAATGAGGGGTCTGCACCGTATTTCATTAGTTGTACAACCATGGATAAATGGCCTTGTCTAAAAAGCAGAAAGACAAACATTTAGACATAAAGTCATTTCAAAGACTGTTTTCTGGAAAAGAGTATACTTGAGGACTGTGATGGTGGGAAGTTAAATCATGTATTTTATGGAATTTCTTTAAAACAAGGCACAGAAGTTTACGGTTCTTGACAGTCTTAAATCTAAACAACAGCCTTGATAACTTAATGAAAACAATCTTAACTTCCTTAAATATCATAATTACTATGCTAGTTCCATTCCAATATGTCCCTAAGGGTCCCATGAACTAATCAGTTTACTTGTAAACACACACACTTCCACAAAGTATTACATTTATTAATCCAAAATGTGATCAAACCTTACAAATGGACTTGCATACTTCCTGAGGACAACTTTGTAACTCTGATTCCAATGATGACAACATTGGGCAGCAATAAATAAAGTCTAGGCATATCATTAAAAACAAAAGATAAAGAAGCCAAAGGAGTGGGGTGAAACAGAAGTCGATGCAAACCTTGTGGCCCAGTGCAATGGAGTTGAGTTCAGGTCTCCTCCAAGTTGATCCACAATAGCACCTTTCGAAATATAGTATCTATAAAATAAAATTTGTAATAATTTAGATAGTTTTCATCTTCAACTTTAGAAAATTATGTGGAAAATAAAATGTTTTCCACTTGAGCTATCAACCTATTTTGTACCTTTGAGAATAAACAGTCTTTTGAAAGCTTAAAAAACATGTTTAGAAAGGTTTCGTATTAAACACATCACTATTTTTGTTCTAGAAGAAAAAGAAATGATTTTTAAAGCTATAAAAATGACGAATAATCATATAAAAAAGGTGATCGGACAATCACAAGGATCTGAGCAGCACATACAACTTTGGAACTGAGAAGCTGTGCATCCAAGAGCCACGAATGGTGTATATAACAGGTAAGGGAAGCTTGCGCCAGCAGTTCTCACTGCTGATGACCCACAGTGAATGAGTTCTGAATACACACACAATAGGTCAAACTGAACTTTTGGGGAGAACCCCCTACTCAACACCTTATGCCTGGTAACTAGATATAAACAGCTAAAATCAAATGCATCAGCGGAAGGGACACAGGCTGGAAGCAAAAGCTTATGGAATCTGAGCATGATAATTATAACTGCATACTGTATGTTCCTTGACAACCAAACTCTTCCTTCTTCTGAACTCCACAAAAGGAAGCCCTAAACAATAACTGGGGCCTATGGAGGTCTGAAGGAAAATGGCCCCCAAAGGGAGAGGCACTATTAGGAGGCATAGCTTTGTTGGAGTAGAGATGGCCTTGTTTGGAGGAAGTGTGTCACTTTGGAGGTAGTTTCTGAGAGCTCATTTATGCTTAAGTCACGCCCAGTGTCTCAGACAAGCAACAGCGAAGGGAATAGCCAGGTGCAAGGAAAAACAGAGAGGACATTTAATTAGGATGAAGAAGAAGTTAGGTAAATACAGAAGGACGGAGAAAAGTTAAATAACAATAAGGACGTCTGAAAAAGTTTTAAGGAATCATATTATATATTCACCAAAAATTACACAATACAAAGTCCTTGTATTCATACATACTTGAAATGAAATTCTCCCATCTGAGTTGCCAATGTGTACCCTAAAGAGCCATAGACCACTTAAGGAATACCCCAACACTAGGCACAAGAAGCTGCCTATGTTGGTTGTCTCACAGAGGTTGAAGGTGACTATCGTTTAAGACACTGTGCATTTGGATGTAGAATCCAGAAGACCTGAAATGGATCTGACCAGAAAGCCTCCTCCCTTGAAGACACAATACTAAAAGGTGCCATATAAGCTTCCAAGAGGGGAAACAAACCATAGTCCTTATCGGGCTATGATACCTTTGAACTACAATAAGCAGCATGGCACAATGTCCCCAAGGGTACGATATTAGCATGCATACCTTGGTGGTAACTATCAGCTCTCTAATTTGACGTAAGACCTACAACAGGATGGGAATCATACACAGAACTAGACTCCTACCCAACTAACCAGGGCTAGCAAAGTTGTCCTTCTTGGACAGACTCAACAACCCTTTACTAAATCAGCATAAGTCCCAACTACATTCTATATGTTTATTCTTCTAAAGAGAGAGTATAGACCTCACCTCTCTTTAAAGAAACATCTTGGAACAGATAGAGGCTATGATAGAAAACCACAACCAATCAAAAAGCAGAAAACAAGTAATCCTGTGGTACCCAGCCCCAGCTGATCTAATTCCTGCACCTAAGGCTCATGGATCATAGCAGAAGGAGTGGGAATGTTGCACAAGCTAAAGGAACAGGAAGTTTGCTTTGAGAATGTGTCTCTTACAAAGTATCAGAGAAGCTGTACCTATGAAGTCTCATCAACATGACTGCTTAAACATGAGCCAAACGAAGACAACACCAGTAGGTACCCTAACTAACATGGAAGAGGGAAAGCTCATGAGGCCTCAACTCTACACCTAAAGAAAACAAAGAGGAGGAGAAACAGTATTCTCCAGAAGAGCCCAAGGGTGCCTGGTTTCCACTACAAAGTGGTCAGCCCTGAAATCACAGACATAACACTACTAACACTATATGAACTGAGCAAGTTTTATTTATTTATTTAGAAATGTATAGAGATCCATACATGATAACAACAGTTAAAAATAGGCTATGAGTTTGAGAAAGAGCAAGGAGGTACATGGGAGGGGCTAGAGGAAGGAAGGGAAGGCAAAAAAAAAAAAAAAAAAAAAAGTATAATTTTAGTTAAAAAAAAAAAAAAAAAAGCAATAGCTAAAAAGCTTTTCCCCCAAAACTGATAAAATATGAAATCAAAATCATCTGAATTTCCATTAAGGTAAATAAAAAAGAAATTCATACTTTGTGAACACATCATGTCAAACTGCAGAAATGAGAAATAGAAAAGCTTAAGAGAAACCACACAACAAAAACTTGACATGCTTAAATGGCTTTTTCTGACAAAAGCCAGGAAACAGTGACCTTTGGGATGGGCAAAACAAGACACAGAAAATCTATCAACCTAGGTTTCTATTCCACGTGAAAGTTTCCTTCCTAGATAGGAGAGAGTGTGCGCTGAAGACTGAGCAATGTCAGGAAACTGGAGGAGGGAAGAAGGGGTAAACAGAGCATGCTGTTCAGGAAGTGGCCCCTTAGGGACTTTGGCACTTTGATGGCTACCACTGTCATCTTTGGCTTTAATACCTGCCTGCTCTTCACTCTCTGCTACATTTACCTTTCCATTTCCAAGCACTTTGTTTTGGATTCATGTCCTCACCTAAAAACAGTATCAAAGATCACCAGTGGACTCCTACCACTCAGCTCTTGCTTACCTCTTTCTTGTCAATGGTAAACAAACAGATTTAGCTAAAAGATGGAAAGTATTTATCACACAGGCCTGGTGTGATTTAGGTAAGAGTATATCACCTATTAGCATATTAATACACCTTTCCTTTGCGGCTTTTCCTATCTAGAATCTATACTCAGAAGGTAGGAGCCAAGTGAAATCACCCAAAGTTAAGTCTAATAATTCTAACCTTTATTAGCTGGGATGATACTGGGTAGCATATTTAAGATTTCTACTTCAGTGTTCTCACTCATAATTGCTACATCTCAAGTGGAGTTATTTCAACAGTTATGGCCAAAGAGAATATACATGGAAAAGTATTCTACATGACTTGACTCATGTAAGCTTTCACTGTACTGGTTTTTAAGCTATGCAGAAAATACACCATGAAAGCTATGGATTTTAGAAATTGTTAACCATCCTCAGTAATTCTACAGTAATGGAGAACACAGGCGCTTATTAATGACAGGTACAGACAGCACATACTTGACTAAATCTGTTCTGTTGTTGATGGCAGCCCAGTGAAGAAGAGTAACATTTTCTTTGTCCGGTTGTCGCACATCATACCCTGCTTCCACCAATTCTCGGCAGCGTTCATATATCCCATACCTAGGAAAGAGCACAAGTAATGCTATCACCACTTAATGCTAAAAGCCTTTTTGGAGACAGGATAGCCCAGGTTGCCTTAAACAAACAGCAACCTCTTACTTCAGGCCCCAAGTTGCTGGAATTACATGTGTGACATCACACTTGGTTGGCTTAAAGCTTCATTTTCATACTTAGAAATTAAAACTATTTTCCAACATACATTTGAAAATATCAGTATGTCAACAGCTTTTACTAACCCTTTTGTTGCAAGTTTAAAATATTTCATTTGTAATAATGCAAAATTTCATGAGGTACAAAACAAAAAGATATCAGAAAAAAATACAAGTCAGCCAATTTCTTTATATCAAAACAGTCCATAAAACTATGTAGATTTTAAAACTAAACAGAAGTTAAAAAATATTAAATATAAGAAAATAAGTAACAGGGGATACATAAAATATTAGAGGACTATCATGAACAAAAACTGTTTTATATGAACGCTAGGATTCTCAATTTGTGAATTTAGCTAATATTCCTGACAGCAAATAAAACTGTGTGTTGGAGTAGGAAGTAAATCCTGTGTGATTTAGTCAATCTACTAAAACCTGAGGGAATGTCAGTTCCAAGATGCTCCCATCTGATAAAGGAGGCAAACACAGAAGCTGGTCCTCACCACTGTGCATCAAAACTTACCTTTTTAAAGATTCATTTTATCAGTGTTTGCCTGCATGTGTGTATGTGTACCATGTGTACACCATGACCCTGGAAGGCAGGGGAGGGCTTTGGATCCCCTGGAAACTGGGGCTACACTTACAAGAACTAAACCCAGTTCCTCTAAGGGTTCCCTCTGCATCCAGAAAGTTTTTATTTGGAAGTATTTTCCAAGTATAAAGTCGATTTAATTAACTGTTAGAAGTTTTGTGAATGAAACCAAAATCATAATAAAATATTAAGTTAAGCTTATAATCCATATGAAAATGGTGCTTTGATCAATTAGGAAGAGGTAGAAATACTGGTTTTAATTGCATAAAGAAAATATTTCAATTTCAGTAACATTGGTTTAGTTGGTTGCTTGCTGCAAAGGTTGACACTGACCAAAATCCACTTCAAAAAAGAAGAATGCACTTCAGCATACAGGCTACAGGGTATATTTCAGCATATATGTTATATACTGTCCATCACTGAAGGAGGTCAGGATGTATTTCAGCGTATAGTTTACATACTGTCCATTACTGAAGGTTAAGGCAGGAACAAAAGGCATGAGCCTGGAGGCAGGAACTGAACACAGACCATGGATACAAGCTCACCAGCTTGCTGAAGAGCATGAGCTTTTAACCCATGAGCCATTTCTCCAGCCAAGTAAACAACTGTAATTAAGTTTTTACTTCTTCTATTTATTGTGTGCAGATGTGTATGTGTGCCATGGTGCAGGCAGGGGAATCAGAGAACAACTCAGGAATAGATTCTCTGCTTCCACAGCTTGAGTCCAAGGACAGAACTTGGGAAGTCAGGCTTGGTGGCAAAGGTGTTAACCCAATGAGTCATCTAGCAGCCCCTTAATGTCTTAGTTTATTATAGACTGTTTACTAATTTTAGTTATGTGTGTGGTGCTGCTCTAGAAGCTTGATACAGTACAAGATGACGTTTGAGACAGGGCATGGTGGTACACATCTTTATTTCCAGTACTGGGGAGGCAAAGGCAGGCAGCCTGGTCTACACAGTAACTTCCAGGCCAGCCAAGGATACACACATTGTGAGACCCTGTCTCAAAAACAAAATAAAAGAAAACAAACCCACTTCTTCCCTCTCTCATTCACAATATCTAGACTTTTAAAAAAGTCTACCAGAAGGGAAACATATTACTAAGAAGATCAGGAGGAAAAGGAAGGGCAGTAAGACAGCCAATACAAGGTACAGGGATGCATGGAAATATCACAATGAATTCATTACCATATATAATTAATATATGCTAATGGAACTTCTTGAAGTAAATATACAAATGAAAAAAAAGATCAAGAAAAACATGACCAAAACTGTGACTATTAACTGTCAGACAATTCTAAAATCTGAAGGACTCAACTCACATTTCTCCTTTGCAGATAAAAAACACCTGCTGTATTTCAACTTGCACATGATTTGAATGACATTATTCTTAGATTCATCATTTTCTTACCCAACCTCAAAGATCAATATAATCTGATATTTGGAAGATTATATTTTGAAGATTTTTATGATATCTCTCTTAGTATAATAAATATATATGCAATACAACATCAACTATGTTGTATTTGTGTACCTGGTTGAGTGGTAGGGAATATAGGGTATACCCTTACCTTTTTAACTCAAAGATACTTTTAAAGTTGGAAATGTTCTCTAGTGTTCATATTGAATACTCTCAGGTACAATAATAAACTTCATAAAATTGCAAGATTCAAATGCAAAAACAGCTGATGGGAATTACAACAATGTAACTGAGATACTGACTTTTTCCCCAAGACAATAGAATACATAATTCATATTCATACTTCACTTAAAACAAATGTCAAGGAAGAAAATAACAAAAACCTTACTGTGTAGCTTTGACTATGTCCCATGTGCTATAGTCATCAATATGAGTTTTTCGCCCAAGAGGTTCACCATATCCATGGTTATAATGGCTTTGTGGTTTGATTTCCTGTTAAAGAGAAAAAACACATAAACTACAGATAATATTTTAATATTTTTGTTTTTGTGCTATTTGACAAATATTCATTGAAATAATTATGTTTAGCTTACTTAAAATCCATATTCTAGAGAAAATCCATGGATGGATAAATAAACCTTCCTCTTGTACACATCCCCAAATTAAAAAGCTCTGAGATTAGAAGTTAATGATAAATTAGCAATTGATGTTTGTACCAGAGTTCTTCATATTTTTTCCTGAGATTCTCATTCTCTTGTTTAACTTTCCTGTTACTCTAAAATCACCTCAACACCAACATTATGTCCCAGATAAAGTGTAATACATTAACAACGGGAAAGTTCTCTTAGAGGACTATAACATGTAAGAACATTCCTCTTCTAATCATGATGGCACACGCCTTTAATCCCAGCACTGTGAGGCAGACTATTTGAGGCCAATCTGATCTACAAATTCAGTGGCAGGACAGCATAAACTACACAGAGAGACTGCCTCAAAACAAAGAAAGAAGAGGGGAGAGGAGACAGAGAAGGAAGGAAGAGGAAGGAAGAGGAAGGAAGAAGAAAAAAAATAAGTATTGGCGTACTTTGGAGTATGAGGACCGTCCGTATTCTACTGGGGTCCTGAGATTCATTTAGCATGTCTGGATTAGTCTTGTATATGCAAGATTAGATATTACCTTTTTTTTTTTTTTTTTTTTTTACTTAAAGATGTCTGTCCCATTTCTAGAATTATTGATTTGCGGCTTCAATGTATTTCTGACATACTAAGATTAATAATCTTTTCCTTGGGCTTCTCTGGTCTTGGTTTTTATATTTGAACGCAACTGCAATCATTAATGCTATTTATCAATAGTCCCACCTGTCTTCTCAGGCACATAGTAAGATTGTACAACTCTGGCCATTTGAAAGAAGTGTGTGCCAGTGATAGGCTTTTATTTTTAAGTGACTATGAACAAAGAATATATGCCTCACTCTCACTTTCTGTGTCATGGATACCAGCAATCCTTTTAAAGAGTAAAAATATTCATTCTAGATTCAAAAGTAGCCACTGTTTACCCCATAATGTATGTGTTGCATGAACCAGTAACATTGAAGCCATTAACACTTTAGGGTTGAAACTGCAGCAAAAACCTAGTTTATCCTAACTAATAGAATCATGAGAGCTCTTTACTTTGTAAAGTACTATACAGATAGATCTGTGTAAGCCTGACTTATATTTTAGAGATAGTTGTAACCATAATGTGTTTTTGCTAATTTATGTTCACAGATTTCTTATATATGATCATATAAATTATTTATTTTAGAATATCTCCTTGAATAGTCTAACGTACAATCTAATTTCCCAAAAATAGGTGGTATTGTTTTCTCATTGTCATGCCCATAGCAATAGCAAAAATGATTAAGTCACCTACATTAAAACATTTTACAAGACCAGCTGATTCTTATCAGTGATGTGTGGAGTTGGAATGCAACAGGTCCAAAGACAAACTGTCTTAGATGAGCTTAGCTCCCTAACTCTCTACATGAACTAACGCCTTTCAACTATTAGGTAAAGTCTTCTGGATTGTACAAATAGAGCCCTAGTTTCTTCCCATCAATCTGCAAACTATAAAAACCTAAGTATTATGAATAATTTCTTAAAAGAATGTCGAACTCACATCTTTGAGAATAAACAAAGGCATTATGTATCCAGTTCATTATGCAGCCGAATTCAATCAGCAAGATTTATGCAAGGAATAACAGGATTCACACAACTAATCCTCTCAAGTAATCCACAAGCATTTCCTGATGATGAGGGCTAGCTTGCGGGAGGGCTAGTCTGTCCTATGGGGAAGGGGACTAGTTATGTTGGGCAAATACTCTTATGAGCTTCATTCCTCGGCTTTCATGTTTGCCAAAAGGTGTTTGTTTCTACCTACTAAACACCCTAGATAGAACATTCATTCAACCTTGACTCTTGATTTCAAAGCTCAAGAATGTTTTTTTCTAAACCAATCCTCACTAGCCCCTTTCTCAGTACCCCTTACAACACCTTCTCTCTCTGTCTATACTACTGTCCCCACATCTCTCTCCAGATTTTTATGATCAGGTTTATCAAGTGAGAACAATTTAGCAATCATACAAACTCCTCCACCAACCTGCCCCAGTCTACTTTTTTAAACTTATATCTACCATTCTCTTTCTCCTATACATTTGCAAGCTACACACTTTCAAACCTTGCTATCTTATATCTTAGCTCATGGTCTTCATCCTACTTAGTAGTACTGGGTGTAGACAAATTTTTAAACCCTTCAATTCACAATTCAAATATCACTTTCCCTTTTCCCTTGTTTCCCTCAGGCTCCTAGATAGCCTATTACCTGAGCTTCCATTACTATGCCTCCCCCCCCCCCAAAAAAAAATCATTAAGCACTGTGTCAAGGAATTATGTTAGTTTGCTATCTCTACTGTAACAAACCTAGTGGCTGAAAGCAACACAAATGTATTATTTTAGGCTTCTGGATCAGAAATCCCAAATCACTGTTCTTGTTTGCTAAAGGCAAAACAACTCCCATCATAGATCCTTTTTCATCTCTGCAATGACTTTCCTTCAGAGGTAGTAGTTATTGAGGAGTTAGGTCCCACTATCTTGGGGGTTGGAGACACCTAACTACCAGAGGATAAACAAGATTAGAAAAGAGACAACGTCCAAATTGCAGAGCTGACACTGTGTAGTTCTCTCAATTACTGACTACCTATGGAGATATTCAAGTACAGGCTTTCTCAACAGGGTCATCTTGAGTTCTGAGGTCTACTCTTTAAGACTGACAGAATACTGAGGCAACATCACACTATTGCAGCCCAGCCTGTCTTCAAACTCTTCAAACATGTGGACCTTCAGATTTGTGTCCCCACATGCTGGTGGGACTACTGGTGTGAGCCCATGTTCAGTTGACCTCGACTCTTATCCTTGTTTGGTCACACAGCCAAATTTTAGCAGGAATGCCATTCGGTCAATCGAGAGAGAATCTCTTTAAATTCGTCAAAGAATCTCTTTTCACACTACATTCTCTCCACACTGGACAGGCTGATGGTATAAAAAGTTGTGGGGTAAATTACAGCTACTTTCAGCAAGTTCAATCTTTCCCTTTCAAATGCAGAAGTCTTTATCAGATCCTGTTCTCAGAGCTGTCCTCCAAAAAGCAAGCTAAGAGGAAAGAAAAGCTGTCCCAAATACTCAATATTCTCCACATGGGTTGCAAGAGCACTTATCTCTCACACCCAGAAGCAAACCCTGGTTTTCTGAGATTTATCAGCCCTGATACAAACAGCTCTCCTTCACTCAGTGGTAAATGACATTTCATTACATCAGTAAACCACACAAAAACACTGCCCTACTGGCCATAGCTGCTTATTCTTTTTGATGCTCTGCTGCTTAGAACGGTTTGTTTGTTATGTTTTGTTTTTAGTCAAATTACAAAAACATGTGCAGATAAACTGATTCAGTTTCTTGAACTTCATCATTAAATTGTAATCCAAGGTAGCAGTTCCAATTTATACTCCAGTAACAATGCAAATGGTTTCTTTTCATTATACTTAAATTTACCAGACTTCTTCATTTGGGGAGACCTAAGAAACACCAAAAATTACCATTTTGGTTTCTATTTCCTTGCAGCAAAGACTGCTTATAAACCAAACTCAGCAACACTAAAGTCAAATAATTTTGACAAAAGGACATGTGTGCCTGACTGGAGATGGTTTAAGATGGATGGATGGAAAGAAATTATAGACAAAAAATATCTACAACTCTTTTAGGGAAGTTTTGCCATGAATAAGAACAGAAGTCAGACCAGAAATGAGATCTAAGGAATAGTGTTTGGTTTCAGACCAGGAATTTTTTCACTGGTAGAAACAATGTGGTGAAGCCAAAAACTGAAGATGAGGGACACAAGTCAGTGAACCAGACACACGCAGTATTCTATGTTAAATACTAGTGAACAGAATCAAAATCTGCATACACAGACATACAAACCATATCTATCAACTAGAATAACCATCATAAATATGTCCATAAATATTCTCCCTAAGTTTATAATTTCTATCAAGATTCCACCAAAAGTCTTTGTGCCTACAGAAAGTTTATTTATATGGGGAGATGACTTCTTTCCTAAAATTTTAAGAACAATCACACATATATAAACACACACACACACACACACACACACACACACACGATCACACAACAAAAATTAACACTGTAGAGTGTTGGCTTAGTTTTAGACCCAGAGTCCAGAGAGACAGAAAAACAACAAAAACCAAAACAAAAAACAGGAAATGAAAACCCACATACATGTGCAACTACTTTTTAACAATATAAAAACAATTCAATAGAGGAAAGAATTTGCTGGAATAAATGGAACATCTATAGGCAAAAATTAAGATAAAAAAAAAATCAAACCAACTTTTATAGCTCATATTATATAAAACTAAATCAAAGCTTACTACAAAACTAAACATTAAAAATTATAGACTAAAAAAGGCAGTGAGACCACAGACATCTGAAAGTTAAGGGTGCCAGGGGAAAGCATGCCTGTCAACAGTTTAATCTAGCTCTTTGTTTTCTAGCCTCCAAAACTGGGGAGGAAGGGCTCTGTGTTTAAGCCTTTTAGTCTGTTATCTTACTGCAGCAGCCCCAGTGAACTAGGACAGACAAGAGACAGTTCACTAAGGATACAGGACATTTAGTATCATTAATTTAATATCACCATTTAATAAATCATCATTTAATATGATAAGCCATTATCTATTAGCCACTTCCCACACTCAGGAAATGGCTAACGACAAGGGCTTTATCATCATAAATATTAGGATGGGCTAAATGTCCAAGAGTGTGGTTGCCCATACCAGTCCCATACCCAGCACTCAGGATGCTGAGGGAGGAGCCATAACATGTGCCTAGTCACCATGGGCTAGCTACAAAGAAGGATGAAGTCTGTGGTGGTCTGAAAGGAA